TGTGATTGTCTGGAGTCTCATGTCTGAGACGTTGAATTGGGACTCCACTTTGTCCCTGTACTGTAGTTTAGCCTGTTTGATTGGCTTACGGAGGTCATAGCTGGTCTGTTCCCAGTCACCTTGCCATGATTAAATGTGCTGGTTCACGCTTTCAGTTTTACTGCCATCTATCCACAGTTATTGGTTTGGATAAGTTCTAATCGTCACAGCAGGAACAACATCCGACCAATCGGGGGAGAAGGGCCTTGGTCAGGGAGGTGACCAAGAACCTGATGGTCACTCTGACAGAGCTCCAGAGTTCCTCTGTGGAGATGGGAGAACCTTCCAGAAAGACAACCATCTCTGCAGCACTCCACCAATCAGGCATTTATGGTAGAGTGGCCAAACAGAAGCCACTCCTCAGTAAAAGGCACATGACAGCCCACTTGGAGTTTGCCAAAAGGCACCTAAAGGACTCTCAGACCAGAACAAGATTGAACTCTTTGGCCTGAATGCCAAGCGTCACATCTGGAGGAAACCAGGCACTGCTCATCACCTGGACAATATCATCCCTACGGTGAAGCATTGTGGTGGTAGCATCATGCTGTGGGAATATTTTTTAGCAGTAGGGACTGGGAGACTAGTCAGGATCAAGGGAAAGATGAACAGAGCAAAGTACAGAGAGATCCTTGATGAAAACCTGCTCCAGAACGCTCAGGACCTCAGACTGGGGTGAAGGTTCACCTCCCAACAGGACAACGACCCTAAGCACACAGCCAAGACAATGCAGGAGTGGCTTCGGGACAAGTCCCAGCCAGAGCCCGGACTTGAACTCGATTGAACATCTCTGGAGAGACCTGAAAATAGCTGTGCAGCAACGCTCCCCATTCATCCTGACAGATCTTGAGAGGATTTGCAGAGAAGAATGGAAGAAACTCCCCAAATACAGGTGTGCCAAGCTTGTAGCATCATACCCAAGAAGACTTGAGGCTGTAGTCACTGCCAAAGGTGCTTCAACAAAGTACTGAGTAAAGGGTCTGAATATTTATGTAAATGTGATATGTACGTTTGTTATTTTTTAAACATTTGAACAAAATGTTTGCTTTGTCATTATGGGATATTGTGTGTAGATTGATGATAATTTTTTAAAATATATATTTTAGATTCTAAATACTCTTCCGAATGCGCATGTGTGTGTGTGTGCTGATGGCATCTCAGGCCATCCAATCACTATGGTACCCAGTGTGACTGTGTGTGTGCTAGTGAGAAGTACTACTGCCCCCTGCTGCTACAATAAGTGTTAACAATAACACTACTGCCCCCTGCTGCTACAATAAGTGTTAACAATAACACTACTGCCCCCTGCTGCTACAATAACACTACTGCCCCCTGCTGCTACAATAACACTACTGCCCCTGCTGCTACAATAACACTACTGCCCCTGCTGCTACAATAACACTACTGTCCCCTGCTGCTACAATAACACTACTGCCCCCTGCTGCTACAATAACACTACTGCCCCCTGCTGCTCCAATAACACTACTGCCCCCTTGCTGCTACAATAACACTACTGCCCCCCTGCTGCTACAATAACAACTGCTGCCCCTCTGCTAAATAACACTACTGCACCCTGCCTGCTACAATAACCACTACTGTCCCCCGGCTGAATACAATAACACCTACTGCCTACCTGCTGCTACAATAACACTACTGCCCCCTGCTGCTTCACATAACCACTACTGCCCCCATGCTTGCATACAATAACACTCACTGCCCCCTGCTGCTAACAATAACACTACTGCCCCTGCTGCTACATAAACACTACTGCCCCTGCTGGCTACAATAACACTACTGCCCCTGCTGCTACAATAACACTACTGCCCCCTGCTGATACAATAAACCACTACTACCCCCTGCTTGCTACAATAACACTACTGCCCCCTGCTGACTACAATAACACTAACTGTCCCCCTTGCTGCTACAATAACACTACTGCCCCCAATGCTGCTACAATAACACTACAGCCCCCTGCTGCTACAATAACACTACTGCCCCCTGCTGCTACAATAACACTACTGCCCCTGCTGCTACAATAACACTACTGCCCCCTGCTGCTACAATAACACTACTGCCCCTGCTGCTACAAAACACTACTGCCCCCTGCTGCTACAATAACACTACTGCCCCCTGCTGCTACAATAACACTACTGCCCCTGCTGCTACAATAACACTACTGCCCCTGCTGCTACAATAACACTACTGCCCCCTGCTGCTACAATAACACTACTGCCCCCTGCTGCTACAATAACACTACTGCCCCTGCTGCTACAATAACACTACTGCCCCCTGCTGCTACAATAACACTACTGCCCCCTGCTGCTACAATAACACTACTGCCCCCTGCTGCTACAATAACACTACTGCCCCCTGCTGCTACAATAACACTACTGCCCCTGCTGCTACAATAACACTACTGCCCCCTGCTGCTACAATAACACTACTGCCCCCTGCTGCTACAATAACACTACTGCCCCCTGCTGCTACAATAACACTACTGCCCCCTGCTGCTACAATAACACTGCTGCCCCCTGCTGCTACAATAAACACTACTGCCCCCTGCTGCTACAATAACACTACTGCCCCCTGCTGCTACAATAACACTGCTGCCCCCTGCTGCTACAATAACACTACTGCCCCCTGCTGCTACAATAACACTACTGCCCCCTGCTGCTACAATAACACTACTGCCCCTGCTGCTACAATAACACTACTGCCCCCTGCTGCTACAATAACACTACTGCCCCCTGCTGCTACAATAACACTACTGCCCCTGCTGCTACAATAACACTACTGCCCCCTGCTGCTACAATAACACTACTGCCCCCTGCTGCTACAATAACACTACTGCCCCCTGCTGCTACAATAACACTGCTGCCCCCTGCTGCTACAATAACACTACTGCCCCCTGCTGCTACAATAACACTACTGCCCCCTGCTGCTACAATAACACTACTGCCCCTGCTGCTACAATAACACTACTGCCCCCTGCTGCTACAATAACACTACTGCCCCCTGCTGCTACAATAACACTACTGCCCCCTGCTGCTACAATAACACTACTGCCCCCTGCTGCTACAATAACACTACTGCCCCCTGCTGCTACAATAACACACAACACTCCCACAGTCTCACTACAACCTCAAGAAAACAACAACACATCAACAAAACATCCACATTAGTTATAACCCCAGACACACAGAAAGACACACACGCACACACACACGCACGCGCACGCACGCACGCACACACACGCACACACACACACACACACACACACACACACACACACACACACACACACGCACACGCACACGCAAACGCACACGCACACGCACACACACGCACACGCACAGTTATCAGCCCAGACCAGACCAGACACCCAGACAGACTAATTTCCCCTCATCTCCCCTGCAGCCAGCGGTGGAGCTCCATCTTTGTGACAAATCAACAGATGTAATTTCAATGTTCGATTGGCAGCCTGAGGCCCATTCATTCAGTGGGGAGAAGAGAGGGGGCTGGTCTAATCTAGAGCCTTCATAGTCAGTCAGGTTGCTTAGGTTAAATAAGTAAATGTGGTATTTTGTCTCACGCCAGATAGCGTGACGGCGCCGTCTGCACTCTTTCAAATGATTCCATTTGTCAGAAGACAATGTAGACGTGACCGACTCAAGTTATGTGACTTTAAGTTGGATGGATCCTGTCCTGTTTGGCTGCACATGCAATTCAAGACAGGTTAAAGAGCAGCTGGTCGCCCACGCTTCCATCCAAGGTTTCAGGTGGCCACCCATCCAAGGTTTCAGGTGGCCACCCATCCAAGGTTTCAGGTGGGCACCCATCCAAGGTTTCAGGTGGGCACCTATCCAAGGTTTCAGGTGGCCACCCATCCAAGGTTTCAGGTGGGCACCCATCCAAGGTTTCAGGTGGCCACCCATCCAAGGTTTCAGGTGGCCACCCATCCAAGGTTTCAGGTGGGCACCCATCCAAGGTTTCAGGTGGGCACCCACCAATGTTTCAGGTGGGCACCCATCCAAGGTTTCAGGTGGCCACCCACCAATGTTTCAGGTGGGCACCCATCCAAGGTTTCAGGTGGCCACCCACCAATGTTTCAGGTGGCCACCCATCCAAGGTTTCAGGTACTTTCTCTTTCTTCATCCCTCTCTTTCCCCTTTCTCTCTTCCTCTCTCTCCCACTTTCTCCCCCTCTCTCTTCCCCTCTTTCCCACTTTCACCCTCTCTCTTTTCATCCAATCTACCTCTCTTTCATTCTCTACACCTCCCACCCCTCCCTTCCTGTCTCTCCACCATCAAGCTAGAGAGATAATAGTAGTGTAACTGCCAGGACCCAGGGGCCAAGTGCCTGGGGTCAGGGGCCAGGGGCCAGGTGCCAGGGACCAAGTGCCAGGGGTCAGGGGCCAAGTGCCAGGTGCCAGGGGACAGGGGCCAGGTGCCAGATGCCAGATGCCAGGGGCCAGGTGCCAGGTGCCATGTTGCTGGGGATCAGAAGTGTGAATAGTAGACCTTTGCCAGTACAGAGTGATAGGCCTATGAATGAAATGTGCTACTGTAAGGTTGGCTTTTTAGCATTCATTGCCATGGTTATCAACTGTACCGCAGAAATGGAACGTAAATCACAGAAGATAGGTGTTGTGGGGGCAGCTGCAGAGAAGTACTTGGGTTTACGAGATTTAGGGAGTTATAGGGAGTGTTGAATGGTAGTGTCCCGTCCTCCTAGGCTGTTGGCCTTGTGTAGGCTCAGAGAGGGTCAAAGTAGTGGAATAGGGTGGTGGGTTTTATTTTGTTTTGTATTTTTTAATATGTGAAGGGTTAGTTGGCAGGTTAATTGGATTTACACTCCAGTCCAGTTTGTGGCGGTAATGCGCATTTTGGTTGCCAACCACCATCTTTAAAAAAAATACAGAAGAAGAAGAAGTTTGTAAATGTGCAGTGATGTGAGCATGCGCTGTGGATGAAACGCACACCCGGAAAAACAAAACAGAATCGGCGATACTCTTCATTCATTGACAAAATGTAACCGCACATGACAAGGAATAGCCGCGAAGCCTTAGACATAATGCTAGGGTTTATAATTTCGTTTATTTTTGTATTAGTGGCAATACTAATACTGCGTCAGGACTGGGCCCACATTACTGGCGATGCACCTCCTCCATCGACAGTGCCACCTGCGCGGCTCATAACCAAAGATGAGTTATCGCTGTACAGCGGAGAGGAGGACAGCAAGGGCCTTTACCTGGCCATTTTAGGACAGGTGTTCGATGTAGAAAAGGGGTTGAAGCACTATGGACCTGGTGGTGGTTATCATTTCTTTGCAGGTGATTTTTTAAAATTAAATTTGCCTAGGGCCTTAACAGCGGGGCTATTGATTGTGAACATGCCTGTAGATTATATAAAATTCCGTACACTTCAAAATAAGAGACACAGATTTTGTCAGATTTATGAATGCATTTGATGCTGCTTTCTATTCCCTCCATTCCCCCCTGTTAAGGAAAAGACGCATCTCTGGCCTTTGTCACTGGGGACTTCACAGATACCGGTCTGACTGATGACGTGTCCAGTCTGTCACCTGCTCAGGTGATGGTCCTCTATGACTGGCTGACCTTCTATCACAAGGACTACACGCCTGTAGGTGGGTAATCATACAATGGGCGCATTCGAGCGGATCACTTTTGTCAAGCCTTCCAAAGTGTACCTCCCCGACTTCACTCCTCCACTTTTGTCTACAGTCGGTTAATTTCGCTTTACCACTCAAATGAGCCCAATGACTGTATGCCAGGCCAGGGTTATCTTTGTGAGGGTCCGTGGTCCATTTGATCAATTAACGTTTGCACCCAATACCAGTTCAATACATCATACATGTGAAAATACATTATACATTTTTTTATAAAGTCCCTCGCAGACTAAGCCTTTAAATACATAATTTCTCAGAATGGGAAAACTATGCATGCCCATATGTTAGCCCACAGGACAGGACAGGCATATACAGAGAATCAATTTACATTTACGTCATTTAGCAGACGCTCTCATCCGGACCGACTTACAAATTGGTACATTCAACTTATGATAGCCAGTGGGACAACCACTTTTTTTTATGGGGAGGGTGTAGAAGGATTACTTTTATACTATTCCAGGTATTCCTTAGAGGTAGGGTTTCAAGTGTCTCTGGAAGGTGGTCAGTGACTCCGCTGTCCTGGCGTCGTGAGGGAGCTTATTCCACCGTTGGCGTGCCAGAGCAGCGAATAGCTTTGGCTGGGCTGAGCGGGAACTGTGCTTCCGTAGAGGTAGGGGGGCTAGCAGGCCATTGACAGAAAAATGAAGGCAAGACCATTAGTGTGACATTAAAGTCCCCCTGTATGTGCTACGCTGCAGGCAGACTGGTGGGTCGGTTCTACAGTGAGAGAGGAGAGCCCACAGAGGCCCTGCTACAGGTGGAGGGGGCCCTGGAGGAGGGGCAGAGACTCAAGGACCAAGCCCAGGCTGAGAAGCAACACCTCCCAGCCTGCAACTCGGAGTGGAGCGCTGCCAGGGGAGGACGGGTCTGGTGCGCCACCAAGAGGTACTGCCATCATGGGGACACAGAGAAACATTGGGCTTCTTCGACATTGCAGCCGACGGGGCAGGCGACTGCCGACTCTACAAATCACCTTGCATCATGTGTAACTACTCATTATTTGTAGATCAGTCACAATTTATCCACAATGCACCACGGATTTGATGCTCTCGAACAGGGCCATTGTATTTACTAGCCTATGTGGTGGTGGAGCAATGTGTGCGGGTCCAAACTTTCCCATGCTGAAGAATATCATACACTAGGGGGTGCTAACTTGTAAATAACATGTTGCCTGCTATCAAACAGACTGGAGAGAACATTCACAGCCATTATACGCCGTGTTTCCCAAACTCGGTCCTCTGGACCACAAGGGATGCACGTTTTGGTTTTTGCCCTAGCACTACACAGTTGATTCAACTAATCATCAAGCTTTGATCATTTGAACAAGCTGTGTAGTTAGGGCAAAAACCAAAACGTGCACCCCTTTGGGGTCCCGAGGACCGAGTTTGGTAAACATTGCATTACAGAGATCATGTCTATGGCTCTGGAAGTATTATTAGGGAATGAACTAAGTGTGAACCTCTGATTTGACTGTTGTTCTTTTCTCTCCTTAGTGGTGGAGTGCAGAGAGACTGGGCCGGCGTACCTAGGAAACTGTTCTCTCCTGGTTCTGGCCGCTCTCGCTGTGTGTGTGTCCAGAACTCCTCCACAGTGGAAAACCCCAACATTCAGGAGTACGAGGGCTGCCCCCCTCACGCTGAGTCATGTCCTGTCAGAGAGTAGAGGACTCAGGGGGAAGGCTGGGCCCCCTCACACAAGGACTATAAAATGGCCTATATACTGTTATTTAAATCTCAGGGACTTCCCAAGGGGTCCGACTCAGCCAGTTATTCTATTTGATAATGCCAGTTTGGTTATTTTCTAAGTTGATTTGTTTCTGTTGAGTTCTTTATGCATGTACATTTAAGTTCAGTGTAATTAATATGCAGTATGCCAACTAATTGCGAGTGCTAATGGCCAAATACTGGACATCCTAATAATTAGGAATAGGGAATTGTTTCTGTTGAATACTATATCTGTACATAGACTAGATGGACAAATAAATGGATGTTTCATACGTGTTTGGTAATTGTCAACAATTGGTAATTGTCAGATGGGATATGAAGTTGTGAACACCAGAAGGATGGACAGGAGTTAACGTGTGCCATGAAGTTGGTCTTGGAAATAAGTTCGTTTTTTTTTGTTTGAAAAGTACAGAGCGAAAAACAAGATCCTGTTATTTTGATTAACTTGATGAAAAGTCAAAGGTCATCCCTTTCACACAAGGAAGTGACAGGCTAGATATCTGAGCATACAGATACAACACAATGTTCATAAAATATTTCAGTTTTGTCACAATGACAAAAAAATAAAAGAAGAAGCACAAACTGCATTCAAGTACAAAACAGTTGTAGTGGTCAAAAAATATTATACAATTCTGTACAATTTAACAATGCTTATAGTGGGCCAATGGCCACCACCAACTCCTCTCACATTCTCTCCCCTTATGTCAGAAATGTCATGTAAATCTTGATAAAAGTGCACCTGTTAGGCTTTGAAATCCAGACGCATTAAAACATACAGGCTGGTTTCCTGGACACAGATTAATAAACCTATTTCTGGACTAAAGGCTTGAACATTTTCATTGAAAGTGCTTTTTAGTCCAGGACTTATCTTAATTTGGGTCTGGGAAACCGGCCTGGTAGGTCAAGACAACACTTGACTTGAGGCAATACCAATTGGAGCATGTTACATATAATAACAACCCCCCCAACAAGAAGACCTTACTAAAGACCCAGATTAAATGGAATGTACACTTTGGTGGTCTGGGGAACATAGACATATTTCACAATGATTATATGATTTTAAAAAATGATAGGCTACAAATTAAATGGCATGCATAGACATAATAGGTATTTTACTATAAATACAATTTCATAGCGAGGATTATTTTGCATTTGGGACTAACAAAACCTCAATGGTAAAAAGGTTCTCACCCTTTCCAGTTCTGATAGAAAATACATTGACCACACTTGATAGTTGAGTGCCTAGTCCCATTTCGGGTTATACATCTTTTGACCCATGTGATCTAGAAAAGCTTATGGAGGTTGTTTTATGCAGTTACGTTTCAATCATGTGAATATAAATCGCACTTTTATTTTAAGCAGTAAGAGTTAATTCAGCAATATTTTTAACCCAATTAGTGTTATGAAAATTTGAATCATTAAATCCAATGATTTCATCATTGAATAATCAATTCAAATAGATTTCTTTTTTTTTGTGTATGAAAAATAGTAACTCAACTGTGTTCCCTTAACATCCAACCAACCGGTCTCTGGTTCTTATAGAACCAGCCACACAGTCAAAGGTAAAGACAAAAGAGAGCTAAATTACATTTCTTATAGCAGTCCTTTTCTTTTACATCCATGAAGGGAAGTGAACAAGTGCACATTTCGGGACAGATGATTGAAACGCAGGGCAGGTCTTAGAGAGCAGCATGCTCTGCTGCTGTTTTCTGTCTCAGCAGCACAGTGCAGTGATGGATTCATTTGATGAGTAGACCAGTGAGACACACTCTCTGTCGGTTCTTCTGCTCTCAACAGGGATCTGACACCATCACATGTTCATCACTGACTCAATCTGACACCATCACATGTTCATCACTGACTCAATCTGACACCATCACTGATTCTCATGATTCAATCTGACACATCACGTTCACTGATTCTCATGATTCAATCTGACACATCACGTTCACCTGATTCAATCTGACACCATCACATGTTCATCAATGACTCTCATGACTCCTTCAAACACCTGATGAATGATATCAGGGTCAAATCATGACAATATGATTAACATCTCCCTCTCCCCAACCAGCCCAGTCCAGGAGTCATTGAGCCATCAAGCTACTTTCATTTCATCCAATTTTCACATTATTAATTTGATCAAAAAAACATGTATAAATTCTACTTCATAAGTCCCTGTTGGAACATTAGTTAACATGTGATAGACTGGAATGAATAGTACAGAAGTTGTGGTCTGTCTGTATCTGTCCAATAACTAGCCCTGGCTGGCCCTTCCGTGTCGCCCGATCTCCTGTTGTTGCCCAGCCTATGGTGTCAGGGTGGTGGGAAGATGGAGGGGTGGAAGGAGAGGATAGAGGAGCAGGCTGTCCGCTGCATTAGGACACCCCACCCAGAGTCAGCACGTCAAAGCACACCTCACAGACCCTCACAGGCTTGTTCAGGTCAAACTTAATGATGGGGATCTCCTTTATAGAACACTTGTGGCAGAGCAAGCGGCCGCAGTGACGGCTTGGGGGAGACGAGGGAGGAAGGGGGAGAGAAGGTAGGAGAAGAGGGGGGGGAAGAGGGAGGAAGAAGCAGAGGGGGCCAGGGAGAAGGGCGAGAAAGAGGGGGAGAGAACGTTTGGTGAGTAAGGTCTGATATTATAACTTGTCAAAAACAACAGGACATACTTTCCAATTTCACTTCACTTGAAGGACTAAAGCAGTCTTTATTAAGAAACTGTATTTCCAGTACTTACCAGTGATGTTTCCTTGTGGTGACTCCAAACTTGGTAGCACATTCATAACAGTTTGATCCATCACACCACGGGGGCTCTTTGGACAACATATCTAAAAACACACAAAACACATAGTGAGAATGGCTCCCATTCCTCTTAAAAAATACCTACTCAACCGAGCGTCAATAATCATGATTATTCCAAGGATCCAAAAACAAACTCTTCTCTATGCCTAACTGATATGTCAAAGCAGGTGGACTAATGTAAACTATGTACTGTATGCTTATGTACTGCACTCTATGAACTACTGTACGTAACACCAACAGCAGATGTATTCCAGGTGTACATCAGGACCGAGCGTCTAACCTAGAAGGCGGAAGAGCAGCTGCTTGGTGGCTACTTGGTAGTTGAAGATGTTGATTCCCTGGTTGTTGTTGAGGCCCATTCGAGCCCCAGACCTCACGACGGCACGACACAGGTTAGCGTTGCCCTTCACGTAGGCCAGCAACAGAACTGAGGAGCAAAAAAAATGATTGACGTTATTCTCTAGAACATATAACACTTGGTTCCTTTCATTTAGTATACAGTGAGGGAAAAAAGGTATTTGATCCCCTGCTGATTTTTGTACATTTGCCCACTGACAAAGAAATGATCAGTCTATAATTTTAATGGTAGGTTTATTTGAACAGTGAGAGACAGAATAACAGCAAAAAAATCCAGAAAAACGCATGTCAAAAATTTTATACATTGATTTGCATTTTAATGAGGGAAATAAGTATTTGACCCCCTCTCAATCAGAAAGATTTCTGACTCCCAGGTGTCTTTTATACAGGTACTCTTAAAGGGAGTGCTCCTAATCTCAGCTTGTTACCTGTATAAAAGACACCTGTCCGCAGAAGCAATCAATCAATCAGATTCCAAACTCTCCACCATGGCCAAGACCAAAGAGCTCTCCAAGGATGTCAGGGACAAGATTGTAGACCTACACAAGGCTGGAATGGGCTACAAGACCATCGCCAAACAGCTTGGTGAGAAGGTGACAACAGTTGGTGCGATTATTCGCAAATGGAAGAAACACAAAAGAACTGTCAATCTCCCTCGGCCTGGAGCTCCATGCAAGATCTCACTTCAGCCCAGAACTACACGGGAGGATCTTGTCAATGATCTCAAGGCAGCTGGGACCATAGTCACCAAGAAAACAATTGGTAACACACTACGCCGTGAAGGACTGAAATCCTGCAGCGCCCGCAAGGTCCCCCTGCTCAAGAAAGCACATATACAGGCCCGTCTGAAGTTTTCCAATGAACATCTGAATGATTCAGAGGAGAACTGGGTGAAAGTGTTGTGGTCAGATGAGACCAAAATGGAGCTCTTTGGCATCAACTCAACTCGCCGTGTTTGGAGGAGGAGGAATGCTGCCTATGACCCCAAGAACACCATCCCCACTGTCAAACATGGAGGTGGAAACATTATGCTTTGGGGGTGTTTTACTGCTAAGGGGACAGGACAACTTCACCGCATCAAAGGGACGATGGACGGGGCCATGTACCGTCAAATCTTGGGTGAGAACCTCCTTCCCTCAGCCAGGGCATTGAAAATGGGTCGTGGATGGGTATTCCAGCATGACAATGACCCAAAACACACGGCCAAGGCAACAAAGGAGTGGCTCAAGAAGACGCACATTAAGGTCCTGGAGTGGCCTAGCCAGTCTCCAGACCTTAATCCCATAGAAAATCTGTGGAGGGTGCTGAAGGTTCGAGTTGCCAAACGTCAGCCTCGAAACCTTAATGACTTGGAGAAGATCTGCAAAGAGGAGTGGAACAAAATCCCTCCTGAGATGTGTGCAAACCTGGTGGCCAACTACAAGAAACGTCTGACCTCTGTGATTGCCAACAAGGGTTTTGCCACCAAGTATGTATGCAAGCATGACTGTAAGTCGCTTTGGATAAAAGCGTCTGCTAAATGGCATATTATTATATTATAAGTACTAAGTCATGTTTTGCAGAGGGGTCAAATACTATTTCCCTCATTAAAATGCAAATAATTTCATAATATTTTTGACATGCGTTTTTCTGGATTTCTTTGTTGTTATTCTGTCTCTCACTGTTCAAATAAACCTACCATTAAAATTATAGACTGATCATGTCTTTGTCAATGGGCAAACGTACAAAATCAGCAGGTGATCAAATACTTTTTTCCCCTCACTGTATATTTATTTATTTATTTCAGGTTGTTATTGCAAAAGAATGCGCTATGGGTAAATAAATAAATATCATTATAATGGCTTATACGAGTCAGACATTTGAGACTAACTAAGCAAGCTGTTAGTCAGGACAGAAACACTAAATCCAAAAGGGCCTTGATCCAATCAGAAACACTAAACCCAAAGGGCCTTGATCCAATCAGAAACACTAAACCCAAAGGGCCTTGATCCAATCAGAAACACTAAATCCAAAGGGCCTTGATCCAATCAGAAACACTAAACCCAAAGGGGCCTTGATCCAATCAGTCAGATAGAGATTGAAGCAGAACCCTGCTCTCCTTCCTATCTGTGTTCCCAGCACCCTGCTCTCCTTCCTACCTGTGTTCCCAGCACCCTGCTCTCCTTCCTACCTGTGTTCCCAGAACCCTGCTCTCCTTCCTACCTGTGTTCCCAGAACCCTGCTCTCCTTCCTAACTGTGTGTTCCCAGCACCCTGCTCTCCTTCCTACCTGTGTTCCCAGCACCCTGCTCTCCTTCCTACCTGTGTTCCCAGAACCCTGCTCTCCTTCCTACCTGTGTTCCCAGAACCCTGCTCTCCTTCCTACCTGTGTTCCCAGCACCCTGCTCTCCTTCCTACCTGTGTTCCCAGCACCCTGCTCTCCTTCCTACCTGTGTTCCCAGAACCCTGCTCTCCTTCCTACCTGTGTTCCCAGAACCCTGCTCTCCTTCCTACCTGTGTTCCCAGAACCCTGCTCTCCTTCCTACCTGTGTTCCCAGAACCCTGCTCTCCTTCCTACCTGTGTTCCCTTCATTGTCCGCTTTGTCCAGAGGGTACTCAGGCATACACTCCAAGAAAAGCTCAAAGATGGCCGCCGCATTCTCTTTCCCATATTGCCCCAGGACGTGCATCGGTGACTGGCCCCTACAAAACAGACAAGTGTTCAGTGAATAAAACACAATGAACCTGTGTAATGACCATTAAGAGAAGAACCATGGCTGAAGTTATGAACAGGTGAGAACAGGAGCGTACCGGAGATTGAAGGCCTCAGCGTCGATGTTGGACTCTGTGAGAAGGGCTCGCACATTATTAAGGCGACCCTGCATTACGGCCAGGTGCAGGGCTGAGGACGGACAGAACAAGACAAAACCGTGAGAAAAACAGAGAAAAAGATGAGAGATAAAAGAACTGTAGAAATGAGTTTAGAAAGTCAGTAAGTAAACCAGAACGGCCCAAAGGGGGCAGGAGCCCATCTCCTGTTTCTGTAGCACGAGGCAGCTTGATGTACAAGTACACCCGAGTTAAAAAGGCTCTCTCTTTTTGGTCAGGCAAGTACCATAAACAACACATTAGGGGTGCTGAACTGATAAATAAGGAATGGTTTTTTCAGCAGGGTGTAATAGTGCAGCAGAGTTGAGGACAGGCAGTAGTAAGGAATCATTGTAAGTGCAACGTTAATAACGATGGTTTTGGGAAACAGCTCTGAGATTTAATGACGCTCCTACGAAGGTTCTAACGATGAACTTAGCCATAAGATGCTTTTGGGAAACCGGGCCCTGTACCGTTGTTGCCATTCTCGTCCACAGCGGTGAAGTCCACTCCGTTCTCCAGCAGCACAGAGCAGATAGTAGCCAGGTCCTGCTGGGTCGCCAAGTGGAGAGCGGTCTGTCTGTGTTTGGTCAGCTCATTCACTTTGGCCCCGGCCAGCAGCTGCAGTGGACATACACCAGTCAGACACCAGTCACACACCAGTCACACACACAGACACACGTTGCGTTCCAGGTTGTCTCTTTCACAGTCGAGTTGCGTATCTCATAAGAGCTTATATAATGTGGTTCCAGTCATGTTAAACGCTTCACCATCTGACCATCTGCACACCGCGGCTGCAATTAAGATGGAAGTCCTAGAGCAGGACTGCCCAAAGCCTGTTCCTGGAGAGCTACCGTCCTGTAGGTTTTCCACTCCAACCCTAATCTAGCACACCTGATTCTAATAATTAGCTGGTTGATAAACTGAACCAAGGTTAGTTACAATTGTGGTTGGAGCGAAAACTTACAGGAGGGTAGCTCTCCAGGAACAGGGTTGGAGAGCCCTGTCCCAGACAGACACTCGGCGCTCTATTTTCGGCTGGCGCCAAGACGATGCAAAAGCCTACACAACTTGAGACCACCACACCACGGTATTAAGCCATGGAGCACGTTGATTGGCCAGTGAGTGGTCAAGCCCTCGTTATACCTACAAACAATTTTTCTTTCATAAAAACAACCCTTTCGCCCCATCGCCACCTATTGCGCCACCCATGATTCCCACTGTGATAATAACACAAATATTTCTGGCACTCACAGAGCTATAACGCCACGCGCGAGAGCACCCAAAATCTACCACTGCATTAGGTTTGTTCAAGTCCACAGACACTCAGCTATCCAGACAGAATAACAGCCAGCACTAGAACAGTGTTACGGGTGAAAAATCGATAGTTACATATTGCAATATTATTTGGGATAATATTATATAAAATCAATACTTTTGACTACAATTATCGTTTTTTGTTGCTTTGTAGCGTTAGCTAGCGCTAGTCGGCTGTACCTTCACCAAAACTCCATCTTCTTTTTAAAATAGTGAGCCAACATGTTTTCAGTACTTTTAGTTCCATGATTGATCAAAACTAATTTCCCCATGCTCTCTCATGTCCCTCTGCAGCAAACATATAGTGAGAAATATGTTCGGAACATCGGACCGCAATAAAACGGCACTACCGGATCGCAACACGCATCGTATCGGCACCTATGTACGGTAATAATATGGTATTGTGAGGTCCCTGGTCCCGCCCCCCAGCCCTAGTGTGACCCAGTCACCGATGAGGAGGCAGGGTGTCATTACCAGGTTACGGACGATAATTTCGGAGCCAGCCTGAACAGCCAGGTGTAGAGGGGTCTGCTTGGCAGCATCCTGCACCCGGGAGTTCACGTTGGCCTGGACACTGATCAGGAACAGAACACTCTCGATGTCAGAGTTCTGCACCGCCACATGCAGGAAGTTACGCCCTTTGTTGTCCACCTGAGAGGAGAAAAAGAGAGGGAAGGATTGGGGAGAAGACTTGGATTGTATAAACAGTGTCAGATCGAGTAATTACACTGTAGGAAAATGGGCCAAAAGAGGCAGCAGTGTGTGTGTGTGTGTGTGTGTGTGTGTGTGTTGTGGGGGGGGGGGGGGGGGGGGGGGGGGTCTCTCTCACCTGTTCGGCAGCCCCAGGCTCTCTCTTGAGGATGGCTTCTGCAGCCTTGTTGTTCTTGTGGGTCATGGCACAGGCAAAGGGGGTCATGCCCTGGCGGTCACGTACGTTCAGACGGATGTCCGGGTGGGAGATGAGCAGCTGGATGATGACGCTGTGCTGGTTGCTAATGGCAACGTGGATTGGAGCTCGGCCCTCGGCGTCCTGGGTTACACAGCTTATATTAGCCACAATGAATGGGCTTGGATAGGAGACACGAGATGCTCCTCGCTCACCAATGAATCATGCTTCTAGATCACAACTCTAAGTGGAGGAATCTATCACAGGGAGACGTGTGAGATGACTGTGCTTAGAGGAGTGACTGTCTGGTGAGACTGACCTGTGGAGTGACATTAGTCAGTGAGACTGGATATGCCGAAAAGCTGTTGTAGATGGCCCAGGAGGAGTAATGTCCAGGAGGACTAAAAGGCCTAAGTAAGTAAGCAAGCAAGCGAGATGTACCTGTGTGTTGACGTTGGCCCCAAACTCCAGAAGACACTGCACCACCTCCTCCAACCCCCAGCTGGCTGCCAGGTGGAGGGGTGACTGTCCGTCCCTGGCCTCCTCACCCCCCTCTCCGCTAGGACCAGGACGCCGCGGGCTGTTCACATCACAACCACTACAGAGGAGAGACAGAGGGTTAGACTAGACCAACATATCAGCTAGCGCTATGCCAAGAGGTTACAGCAGAGGAAACATGATACAGCAGAGGAAACATGATACAGCAGAGGAAACATGATACAGCAGAGGAAACATGATACAGCATATACTTGACTAGAACCTAAATCATTATTGAAAACACTGTAGATCACTATTTGATATAGATTTGACAATAAAACACCATGTCAAAGCGCTAAGTGTCTTTAGCCTTCCATTCCTCTGTTAAACCAACATTAGAAAGACCCAGTCACCCCTGACCTAGTTGAATGATACAGTGGCTCTGTTGACAACACTGAGATCACCTGAGGTAACTACTGAGCTACAGTAAGCCTGTGGACTGGGACAGCTCTGTGTGGACTGGGACAGCTCTGTATGGACTGGGACAGCTCTGTGTGGACTGGGACAGCTCTGTGTGGACTGGGACAGCTCTGTGTGGACTGGGACAGCTCTGTGTGGACTGGGACAGCTCAGTGTGGACTGGGACAGCTCAGTGTGGACTGGGACAGCTCTGTGTGGACTGGGACAGCTCTGTGTGGACTGGGACAGCTCTGTATGGACTGGGACAGCTCTGTGTGGACTGGGACAGCTCTGTGTGGACAGCTCTGTGTGGACTGGGACAGCTCTGTGTGGACTGGGACAGCTCTGTGTGGACTGGGACAGCTCTGTGTGGACTGGGACAGCTCTGTGTGGACTGGGACAGCTCTGTATGGACTGGGACAGCTCTGTGTGGACTGGGACAGCTTCTATTGGCTCTGTTTACACCACGTGTCAAATTCATTCCCCGGAGGGCCGAGTGTCTGTGGGTTTTCGCTCCTCCCGTGGACTTCATTGATAATTAAGGTCACTGATTAGTAAGGAACTCCCTTCACCTGGTTGTCTAGGTCTTAATTTAAAGGAAAAACCAAAAGCCTGCAGACACTAGGCCCTCCATTGAATGAGTTTGGTTTACATAGTCATCAGGCACGGATCACACTGAATAACCATGAAACCACTTCCATTTACAGTACCAGTCAAAAGTTTTAGAACACCTACTCATTCAAGGGATTTTATTTTTACTATTTTCTACATTGTAAAATAATAATGAAGACATCACAACTATGAAATAACACATATGGAATTATGTAGTAGCCAAAAAAAGTGTTAAACAAATCCTTTGCACACTCTTTGCATTCTCTCAACCAGCTTCATGAGGTAGTCACCTGGAATGCATTTCAATTAACAGGTGTGCCTTGTTAAAAGTAATTTGTGGAAATTCTTTCCTTCTTAATGCGTTTGAGCCAATCAGTTGTGTTGTGACAAGGTGGGGGGGTAGACAGAAGATAGCCCTATTTGGTAAAAGACCAAGTCCATATTATGGCAAGAACAGCTCAAATTAGCAAAGAGAAACGGCAGTCCATCATTACTTTAAGACATGAAGGTCAGTCAATACGGAACATTTCAAGAACTTTGAAAGTTTCTTCAAGTGCAGTCGCAAAAACCATCAAGCGCTATGATGAAACTGGCTCTCATGAGGACCGCCACAGGAAAGGAAGACCCAGAGTTAACTCTGCTGCAGAGGATAAGTTCAATAGAGTTACCAGCCTCAGAAATTGCAGCCCAAATAAATGCTTCACAGAGTTGAAGTAACAGACACATCTCAACATCAACTGTTCAGAGGAGACTGCGTGAATCAGGCCTTCATGTTTGAATTGCTGCAAATAAACCACTACTAAAGGACACCAATAAGAAGAAGAGACTTGCTTGGGCCAAGAAACACGAGCAATGGACATTAGACCGGTGGAAATCTGTCCTTTGGTCTGATGAGTCCAAATTTGAGAGTTTTGGTTCCAACTGCCGTGTCTTTGTGAGACGCAGAGTAGGTGAACAGATGATCTCCGCATGTGTGGTTCCCACTGTGAAGCATGGAGGAAGAGGTGTGATAGTGTGGGGGTGCTTTGCTGGTGACACTGTCTGTGATTTATTTAGAATTCAAGGCACACTTAACCAGCATGGCTCCCACACCATTCTGCAGCGATACGTCATCCCATCTGGTTTGCGCTTAGTGGGACTATCATTTGTTTTTCAACAGGACAATGACCCAACACACCTCCAGGCTGTGTAAGGGCTATTTGACCAAGAAGGAGAGTGATGGAGTGCTGCATTAGATGACCTGGCCTCCACAATCACCCGACCTCAACCCAACTGAGATGGTTTGGAATGAGTTGGACCGCAGAGTGAAGGAAAAGCAGCCAACAAGTGCTCAGCGTATGTGGGAACTCCTTCAAGACTGTTGGAAAAGCATTCCTCATGAAACTGGTTGAGAGAATGCCAAGAGTGTGCAAAGCTGTCAGAGGCAAAGGGTGGCTACTTTGAAGAATCTAAAATATGTTTTCATTTGTTTAACACTTTTTTGGTTCCTACATGATTCCATATGTGTTATTTCATAGTTTTGATGTCTTCACTTTTATTCTACAATGTAGAAAATAGTAAAAATAAAGAAAAACCCTTGAATGAGTAGGTGTGTCCAAACGTTTGACTGGTACTGTACATTATTGTCATTTAGCAGACGCTCTTATCCAGAGTGACTTACAGTAGCGAGGTCATACATTTTAGTCATTTAGCAGACGCTCTTATCCAGAGTGCATACATTTACGTACTACCCCACTTTTTTGTACTGGTCCCCCATGGGAATCAAACCCACAACCCTGGTGTTGCAAGCGCCATGCTCTACCAACTGAGCCACATGGGACCACCTTCCTCTTGCTGACTCTTTCCGAACCAAAATGGATTCCTGAACCAGATTAAACCAAGATGGATTCCTGAACCAGATTAAACCAAGATGGATTCCTGAACCAGATTAAACCAAGATGGATTCCTGAACTAGATTAAACCAAGATGGATTCCTGAACTAGATTAAACTCAACTGGAATCTGGAGAATGATCAATCTTAACTCTATAAATAAAGAATGGTTAAATGGAACGCTAAAAAGATGCTAACATGGCGGGCGGCTAGTGGAAAAGTTGGCAAAACTCTATAGATGACTGAGTGAAAGTAAAAAAAAACTGTTTGAATTAGCAGCAAAACAACGTCTGAGCTTGATTATCAACCAGACCCAGGCTGTGCTAAACAGTAAAACCAACCAAACAACCACTGACTTAGGAAATATTAACCCAATATACTGGTGCCAAAGGTAGTTTCAGCACAGTGAACACGCCACGTCATAAAAGAGCTGTGAGGATTATGATCATTGAGCTGTTAGCCCATTGAGGATGAGGGCATTAGAAGGGCAGGCCGTCGTGACTCTCTCACTTCCTATTTAAGGCTGTTTATTCATTTGCTATAAAGAGGGATTAGTATAATTTGCAGTGAGTCCATGGCAAGGGATGAGCGCAGCTACCCGTTGTTGAGGGTTGAGTGCATTAGAAAGTGAGGCGCGTCGGCGACACTGTCCATTATACAAATATGTTAATTTGATAAAGAGGGATGAGTGTGATCAGACGGACCTGCGGATGAGGAAGCAGGCAGTGACCTCGTTGTTCTCGTCCACAGCCCTGTGGAGGAGGGTCTGCTGACAGCCTGAGGGACCTGGGCTCCAACTGGTGGCATCACAACCGTGTCGGACCTACAGTAGCAGGGACAAGCAGACAGCATATTCCCAGTCAAACCCGACCCGACTCCTGACTTGCTTAAATGAGTCGAGACTCTCACAAACAACTATCATAGCATTCCATGGTCACTTATTTACATTCATCTGTGGGCTCTCATTACCACAACCTCCACCACCCTTCCACTCCCCCCCCCTCAGGTCTCACCAGTGTGGAGGCGATGTCCTCTAGGCCGTTCTCCAGGGCCAGCCACAGAGGGGGGTGTCCCCTCTTGTCCACCACGGACATGTCCGCCCCCCGAGTGCAGATGGCGTCCACCACCAGGGGAAGCTGATTACTGATGGCCAGCTGCAGCGCCGTCTCTCCCTCCTGGGTCCTGCAGGGAGCGAGACATGGCGGTTTTATCCACCTCCTGCTTACTTATACACCTCACAGTGATATTTATCCAATGTGTAAAAACTACAGGTCATATCAGGTCATATTCACCTATGACTTGTGCTACCGCAGGGTTTTTTTCTGGACCAAAAAAGGACTTAATTGGTGGCCTTGGCAATGAACACATTTTGCCATGCAGCTGAGAGAAAATGTTGCCGTTTGCCATGGCTAATGCTGTGTCCTTTTGCTCCAACATAATAACAAACACACTGCTAAATACATTGTTTTGGGTATTTTCAATTCTCCCTGACTGTCTAGCTTTTATTTAGGTGATTGTTAGTTATCAAAGATGACATTATAAAAATATATATAGGTCCATTATCTTTTCTACATCTCTCGTTTTAGTAATTTAAGTTCGCACTGAAAGCTTTTTTTTTCCATCCCGAAACATTGTCCCAAAGAAGTTTGGACTAGGTGGCCCGACCAAGGATTACAACGGCAGAAAAATCACTGCTCCTGTACACCTCCGCATTATTGTATAATTCAGTTTATGTTTATGTCTGATACGTCGTCTGACTTTTAAAACGGATGCCAAATTAAAATTCCCCTCGAGGGAAAAAATAAAGAATTGAGAAATGCATCTGCTGGTTTATGAAGCTTCTGATCTGTGACCTATTGTGTTCCTACCTGACGTTGATGTCAGCCTGGTGTTCCAGGAGGAACAGGGCACTCTTGCTGTCCTGTCTGTGGATGGCCATGTGGAGCAGGGTCTGACCGTTGGACATGGTGTTGTTGATGGACGCCCCAGAGCCCAGGAGTTGGGCTGCTATGGTGTGCATACCTGAGGGACAGACGGGAGACACGGGCAGACTGTAAATGCAGTGGATCCAGTGAGACCAAACTACCTTTTTAAAAATCCTATTCAAAATTCAGACGCTTGCGCCTCTTCACTGTTGATTTGTTGTGTATTTGGATCGATCCAAGAGGAGTGGGTTTAGGGGCAAAGCACAGGCAAAGCTTGGAATTGGAGCTTCTGCTAGAATTCAGTGTGGACTACGTCTATGGACTACGTTTTAGGTTGGACCAGAGCCATATAATTATTTTCAATTTCTACTAAATACATGGCACTGAGTTGGGACTATCATGACTAGAAAACCTTTGGCTGCACATACCTCCTCTGTTTGGCTGGCTATCCATGCCATGCCAGACTGGAGGAGGAGGAGGAGGTGGTGTGAGCCCTTTCACGACAAGGCATGTTTTAAAGCATGTCAAGTGATAGAGCACCAGCCAGATCTTTCACACTGACGTATCTAGTAGATACCTATCTGATATGAGTGTAGTGTTGTTGTTGTTGTTAACGTTGGTGAAGCCAGCTACCTGTCCATAGGGCTAGACCCAACACCGTCTGGTCCATGGAGTCTAGGAGGCTGAAATCTGGGATGATCTGCAGGTTGTTGGTGGCATGAAGAGCATTGGCTGGAAACACCAGGAAATTACATTGTCAGTATGCAGGTAACAAATCCAATTTCCCTCCGGGGATCAATCATGTTCATTCATCCATCCATCCATCCATCCATCCCCTGGTCTAATTAACACGGAGATGCTGACCAACTAACCCACCTTTCTGCTCCAGGATGACTGACACCACGTCGGGGTGGTTGTGTATGATGGCCATGTGGAGGGGGCTCTGCAGGGACACCCCCTGGGCCTCGTCGGGGAGGGCCTTCTGGGTCTGCAGGTTAGAGTTAGCCCCCTGCTGGAGCAGCTCTGCCGTCAGGCCAGCCAGACCACAGCGACACGCCGTGTGGAGAGGGGTCTCACCCTGTGGGGGAGGAGAGAGGAGAGAGAGAGGGGGGTTAGAGGAGGACAGAGCGGGGTTAGAGGAGGACAGAGGGGGGTTAGAGGAGGACAGAGGGGGGTAAGAGGAGGACAGAGCGGGGTTAGAGGAGGACAGAGGGGGGTTAGAGGAGGACAGAGGGGGTTAGAGGAGGACAGAGGGGGGTTAGAGGAGGACAGAGGGGGGTTAGAGGAGGACAGAGGGGGGTTAGAGGAGGACAGAGGGGGTTAGAGGAGGACAGAGGGGGGTTAGAGAGCGAGGGGGGTAAGGGAGGGGTAGACAGAGGGGGTTAGAGGAGGGGGGGGGTTAGAGGAGGACAGAGGGGGTTAGAGGAGGACAGAGGGGGGTTAGAGGAGGACGAGGGGGGTTAGAGGAGACAGAGAGGGGTTAGGGAGGACGTAGGGGGTTAGAGGAGGACAGAGGGGGGTAGAGAGGACAGAGGGGGGTAGGAGGCAGAGGGGGGTTAGAGGAGAGAGAGGCAGAGGGGGTTAGGGAGGACAGAGGGGGGTTAGAGGAGGGGGGGGGGGGGTGAGGAGACAGAGGGGGTTAGAGGAGGACAGAGGGGGTTAGAGGAGGACAGAGGGGGTTAGAGAGGAGGACAGAGGGGGGTTGAGAGGAGGAAGCAGAGGGGGTTAGAGGAGGACAGAGGGGGGTTAGAGGAGGACAGGAGAGGGGTTAGAGGAGGACAGAGGGGGGTTAGAGGAGGACAGAGAGGGGTTAGAGGAGGACAGGGGGGGTTAGAGGAGGAAGAGGGGGTTAGGAGGACAGAGGGGGTTAGAGGAGGACAGAGGGGGTTAGAGGAGGACAGAGGGGGGTTAGAGGAGGACAAGGGGGACGGGGTTAGGGGGGTTTAGAGGAGGACAGAGGGGGGTTAGAGGAGGACAGAGGGGGTTAGAGGAGGACAGAGGGGGTTAGAGGAGGACAGAGGGGGGGTTAGAGGAGGACAGAGGGGGGTTAGAGGAGGACAGAGGGGGGTTAGAGGAGGAGAGGGGGTTAGAGGAGGACAGAGCGGGGGTTAGAGGAGGACAGAGGGGGTTAGAGGAGGACAGAGGGGGGTTAGAGGCAGGGAAGGGACAGAGGGGGTTAGAGGAGGACAGAGGGGGGTTTAGAGGAGGACGAGGGGTTAGAGGAGGACAGAGGGGGGTTAGAGGAGGACAGAGGGGGGGTAGAGGAGGGACAGAGGGGGTTTAGAGGAGGACGAGCGGGATAGAGGAGGACAGAGCGGGGATAGAGGAGGACAGAGCGGGGTTTAGAGGAGGACAGAGCGGGGGTTAGCAGGCGGACAGAGCGGGGTTAGAGGAGGACAGAGGGGGGTTAGAGGAGGACAGAGGGGGGTTAGAGGAGGACAGAGCGGGGTTAGAGGAGGACAGAGCGGGGTTAGAGGAGGACAGATTGTATGATGCAGTAGTTTGTGATGCAGTACAGTTTGAAGCAGTAGACTTTATGATTCACAATTGCACTGTAGTGTCTGAAGTAGTAACTTGTGATTAACTAGCAGAGCTGTGTTGCATCATGTGATATTGCAGTACAACGTAACCTACCCATTTGTTGGCATGGTTGACCTTTGCCCCATGTGTGGCCAGGAAGAGGGCGGCGGCCTCACTGCCTGCACCTGCTGCCCTCTGCAGGAGGCAGTTCTCTGAGGTGGGATGGAGGAAAGGAAGATGAGAGGGAAAAGAGAGTAAGAATAACAGGTAGCTTAGTGGTTAAGAGCGTTGTGCCAGTAACCGAAAGGTCGCTGGTTCTAATCCCCGAGCCGACTAGGTGAAAAATCTGTCGATGTGCCCTTGAGCAAGGCACTTAACCCTAATTGCTCCTGTAAGTCGCTCTGGATAAGAGCGTCTGCTAAATGACTAAAGAATTGAAAAAATAGTAGTGCACTGATCTCCCTGTTGTTTAATACTTTCCTTTATTGTATCATTCATCCAATTAACAAATCATTCATTAACATGTACACGTTTAGCGTGTTCCCTTCAATCAGACATTTCTGCATTGTATTCTCAGTCAACACTATGAGTTTGGGAAACAGTACCTGTGGCGGTGTCTGGTGCGTCTGGGTTACTGCCTCTCTGGATGAGCTGGGCTGCAAAGCTGTTTTCATCAAACGACGTTCCGTTCTCCACCACCGGAGCGTCTTCCTCGAAGGGGTTAACGTTGGGGTCAGAGGACACGGTGATGTACTGCAGGGCCAGCCACAGAGCTGTGCTCCCCTCATGGTCCTTCAGCTCCAGGTCCAGCCTGAGGAGAGGAAAGGGGGACAGATGACAGTGTTACACCAGGAAATAGAGGCTACTCCTCAGGCTGATTTTAATCAAGTCAATGATGAGCCAGGTCAATGGCTTAGTATTTAGTCAAGGGTTTCCTGTTTTAACTCACTGTTTGCACTGCAGGAGCTGGTTGAACACCGGCTCGTTCCCCGACACCACCGCTTCGTGTAAAGGAGTTCTGGGAAGCAAAAACAACAGGAAATATATAGCGCCACAGTATTGGGACCATTACAAAACAACTCCTGTAACTCACACGTAAACACATCACAAGCATTGGAAGCAGGGGTTAAAGCAAACAAAATCCCATGACTGAAACTTAAGTCGATTGTCTGGGGCCAACTTAACCTCCCCTTTCATGTTAGAAAGTCATGACCATCATGCTTTTAGGGAAAGAGGATCATTTTGTACATGAACTGAGAGTTTGACCAATTCCAGTCCTTTTCAATATTGGAAATAAAATAAATAAAATAATCCATAAAGGAAGACAACTTTAACCCCTGTGGAAGCAATGGCAGATTCTCTATAGATTTCAAGTGAAAGTACAATCAATCTAAAACATAAACTGTGATTTTAATAGACTTTTGTTATATCACACCAGATGAGGTCATTGGATCAGGATGATTACCCACCTGCCCTTGCTGTTCTGCATGTTGGGGTTGGCCCCTGTCTTGAGCAGGACCTCTGCGATGCGGGCCATACCACTCATCACCTCCCCAGAGTGCTTCCTGGGGCTGAAGGAACACACCAGGTGCAGGGGGGTCTCCACCGCCCCGACCGTGGCCGCGTTCACCTGGGCCGAGTGGCGGATCAGGAAGGTGGAGGCGAACTCATCCCCTGTGGGGCGGAGGCAGAGAAGAAAGGGACGAGGTGGAGGGGAAACAAATTCAATGATTGGTTATGCACAGGTCACAGGAGACTAGTGAGGGGAGGACGGCTCATAATAACGACTGGAATTAAGTGAATGGAATGGTATCAAACACAAGGAAACCATGTGTTCAATACTATTCCATTCCAGCCACTACTATGAGCACGTCCTCCCCCAATAAAGGTTCCACCAGCCGCCTGTGGCGCGGGTGCTGTAGTTCAAAGAGAAGTGTGCAGAATCAGGACACACACTGCGGTGTGAATTTACCCTCAGCATTCAACACGCTTCATCTCTAGCCCAGCGTTGAACCCATAGGGAGGGTTCTTGTCTCAAATAAAATCAAACACATACACGTGTTTAGCAGATGTTATCGAGGGTGTAGCGAAATGCTTGCGCTTCTAGCTCCGACAGTGCAGTAATATCTAACAATTTCACAACATATACCCAATACACACAAATCTAGTAAGGAATGGAATGAATAATCTTCCCGGCTGTATGTAATAACACAAAACTATTTTCTGGGCTAATAACATAAGAAATAATACATAAAAAAACTAAAACACTGCAAAGTTTCCTAAGAGCAAGAAACCATTTTCCATCTAGCCCAGTAGTGAGCTTATATAGGGAGGGTTGTGTTGTCTCTAGCTCAGCATTGAGCTTATATAGGGAGGGTTGTGTTGTCTCTAGCTCAGTAGTGAGCTTATATAGGGAGGGTTGTGTTGTCTCTAGCTCAGCATTGAGCTTATATAGGGAGGGTTGTGTTGTCTCTAGCTCAGTAGTGAGCTTATATAGGGAGGGTTGTGTTGTCTCTAGCTCAGTAGTGAGCTTATATAGGGAGGGTTGTGTTGTCTCTAGCTCAGTAGTGAGCTTATATAGGGAGGGTTGTGTTGTCTCTAGCTCAGCATTGAGCGTTCATAGGGAGGGTTGTGTTGTTTTTGATAATGCAATATGCCAGAAGCAATATAGTACATGACATACTGCCGAGAATGTGCGGCGCCCCCTACCTCTTTGGATGGCTTTGTGCAGAAGGCTCCAGCCACTCTGGTCCACCATGTCCACGTCTGCCTTGTTGTTGACCAGCGTTGTGGCGATACTCTCCAGTTTACGAGACAGAGCCAGGTCCAGGGCCAAGTCCCCATTGTTGTCCAGTTCATTCAGCTTCCCAGGCAACTAGGGATGTGGAGAATAGAACAACATGTATACTATTCTACACTGAGCTAAAATATCAACGCAACATTTAAAGTGTTGGTCCCATGTTTCATGAGCTGAAATAAAAGATCCCAGAAATTTTCCATACTCACAAAAAGCTTATTTCTTTCAAATTGTGCGCACAAATTTGTTTACATCCCTGTTTAGTGAGCATCTCCTTTGCCAAGATAATCCATCCACTTGACAGGTGTGGCATATCAAGAAGCTGATTAAACAGCATGATCATTACACAAGTGCACCTTGTGCTGGGGACAGTAAAAGGCCACTAAAATGTGTAGTTTTGTCACACAACACAATGCCACACATGTCTCAGGTTTTGAGGGAGCGTACAATTGGCATGCTGACTGCAGGAATGTCCACCAGAGCTGTTGCCAGAAAATTGAATGTTCATCTCTCTACCATAAGCCGCCTTCAACGTCGTTTTAGAGAATTTGGCAGTACGTCCAACCGGCCTCACAACCACAGACCACTTGTAACCACGCCAGCCCAGGACCTCCACATCCGGCTTTTTCACCTGCGGGAACGTCTGAGACCAGCCACCCGGACAGTTGATGAAACTGAGTTCACACAACCGAAGAATTTCTGCACAAACTGTCAGAAACCGTCTCAGAGAAGCTAATCTGCGTGCTCGTCGTTCTCACCAGGGTCTTGACTTGACTGCAGTTCGGCGTCATAACCCACTTCAGTGGGCAAATGCTCACCTATGGCCACTGGCACACTGGAGAAGTGTGCTCTTCACAGATGAATCCTGGTTTCAACTGTACCGGGCAGATGGTAGACAGCGTGTATGACGTCATGTGGGCGAGCGGTTTGCTGATGTCAACGTTGTGAACAGAGTATGGTATGGGCAGGCATAAGCTACGGGCAATGAACACAAATGCATTTTATCGATGGCACTTTGAATGCACAGAGATACCGTGATGAGATCCTGAGGCCCATTGTCGTACCATTCATCCGCCTCCATCACCTCATGTTTCAGCATGATAATGCACAGCCCCATGTCGCAAGGATCTGTACACAATTCCTGGAAGTTGAAAATGTCCCAGTTCTTCCTTGGCCTGCATACTCACCAGACATGTCACCCATTGAGCATGTTAGGGATGCTCTGGATCGACGTGTACGACAACGTGTTCCAGTTCCCGCCAATATCCAGCAACTTCGCACAGCCATTGATGAGGAGCATTGATCAGGCCACAATCAACAGCCTGATCAACTCCATGCAAAGGAGATGTGTCGTGCTGCATGAGGCAAATGGTGGTCACACCAGATACTGACTGGTTTTCTGATCCACGCCCCTACCTGTTTTTTACCTGTATTCCCAGTCATGTGAAATCCATAGATTAGGGTCTAATTAATTTATTTCAATTGACTGATTTTCTTATATGAACTAACTCAGTAAATTCTTTGAAATTGTTGCATGTTGCGTTTATATTTTTATTCAGTGTAGATAGAAAAACATGTAAAAAGAAAGTAGTGTAGTTGGCTTCTCAATCTGATCTATTATCAGCACTCCAAATGAGACTCTCTGTGAATACAGGCCCTGCTCCAGATGAGAGAACAGGATATTGGTCTTCAGTGAAACCTGTTACATTGAACATACTTGGGGTGCCTCCGAGGCAAACCTGTCAAGGTCTCACTCACCTGCGAGTCCATCTCAATGAGGTAGAGGAAGACCACGTCTTCCCTCTCCACCTTGATGGCTTTGTGAAGTGGGAACTCCGTTTTAGACTTAATCATCTTGTAGAGCAGCGGAGCACTCATAGTGCTGAAGTCCTCTTTCCTCAGGTCATCCTGTCCAGACAAAAGATAGAAGTTCATTAAGAATGCTCCGTCATCTAGGTCATATAAAATATAATTACTAGAACAGACATTCCCATTAAAAGGTGGTCTTAAGTAAGACAGGTAGATGTGGGTTTTGTTTCAATACTTTATTTTTTTATTTTTTTCCTTTAGGGCTGGGCGATATGGCCTAGAAATTATATGTCGATTTTTTCAAACTTATAGGCGATTCACGAGATGTATACACTACCAGTCAAAAGATTGGACACACCTACTCATTCAAGTGTTCTACTTTATTTTAAAATATGTTTTACATTGTAGAATAATAGTGAAAAAAATCAAAACTATGAAATAACACATATGGAATCATTTAGTAACCCAAAAAAGTGTTAAACAAATCAAAATATATTTTATATTTGAGATTCTTCAAAGTAGCCACCCTTTGCCTTGATGACAGCTTTGCACACTCTTTGCATTCTCTCAACCAGCTTCATGAGGTAGTCACCTGGAATGGATTTCAAATAACAGGTGTGCCTTCTTAAAAGTAATTTGTGGAATTTCTTTCCTTCTTAATGCGTTTGAGCCAATCAGTTGTGTTGTGACAAGGTAGGGGTGGTATACAGAAGATAGCCCTATTTGGTAAAACACAAAGTCCATATTATTGCATGAACTGCTCAAATAAGCAAAGAGAAATGACATTCCAGCATTACTTTAAGACATGAAGGTCAGTCAATACCGAACATTTCAACAATCTCTCAAGCACAAGCCCACCTGCTAGTGAGTAGCCAGCTAATCTTTATACACTGCTCAAAAAAATAAAGGGAACACTTAAACAACACAATGTAACTCCAAGTCAATCACACTTCTGTGAAATCAAACTGTCCACTTAGGAAGCAACACTGATTGACAATACATTTCACATGCTGTTGTGCAAATGGAATAGACAACAGGTGGAAATTATAGGCAATTAGCAAGACACCCCCCAATAAAGGACTGGTTTTGCAGGTGGTGACCACAGACCACTTCTCAGTTCCTATGCTTCCTGGCTGATGTTTTGGTCACTTTTGAATGCTGGCGGTGCTTTCACTCTAGTGGTAGCATGAGACGGAGTCTACAACCCACACAAGTGGCTCAGGTAGTGCAGCTCATCCAGGATGGCACATCAATGCGAGCTGTGGCAAGAAGGTTTGCTGTGTCTGTCAGCGTAGTGTCCAGAGCATGGAGGCGCTACCAGGAGACAGGCCAGTACATCAGGAGACGTGGAGGAGGCCGTAGGAGGGCAACAACCCAGCAGCAGGACTGCTACCTCCGCCTTTGTGCAAGGAGGAGCAGGAAGAGCACTGCCAGAGCCCTGCAAAATGACCTCCAGCAGGCCACAAATGTGCATGTGTCTGCTCAAACGGTCAGAAACAGACTCCATGAGGGTGGTATGAGGGCCCGACGTCCAAAGGTCGGGGTTGTGCTTACAGCCCAACACCGTGCAGGACGTTTGGCATTTGCCAGAGAACACCAAGATTGGCAAATTCGCCACTGGCGCCCTGTGCTCTTCACAGATGAAAGCAGGTTCACACTGAGCATATGTGACAAACGTGACAGAGTCTGGAGACGCCGTGGAGAACGTTCTGCTGCCTGCAACATCCTCCAGCATGACCGGTTTGGCGGTGGGTCAGTCATGGTGTGGGGTGGCATTTCTTTGGGGGGCCGCACAGCCCTCCATGTGCTCGCCAGAGGTAGCCTGACTGCCATTAGGTACCGAGATGAGATCCTCAGACCCCTTGTGAGACCATATGCTGGTGCGGTTGGCCCTGGGTTCCTCCTAATGCAAGACAATGCTAGACCTCATGTGGCTGGAGTGTGTCAGCAGTTCCTGCAAGAGGAAGGCATTGATGCTATGGACTGGCCCGCCCGTTCCCCAGACCTGAATCCAATTGAGCACACCTGGGACATCATGTCTCGCTCCATCCACCAACGCCACGTTGCACCACAGACTGTCCAGGAGTTGGCGGATGCTTTAGTCCAGGTCTGGGAGGAGATCCCTCAGGAGACCATCCGCCACCTCATCAGGAGCATGCCCAGGCGTTGTAGGGAGGTCATACAGGCACGTGGAGGCCACACACACTACTGAGCCTCATTTTGACTTGTTTTAAGGACATTACATAAAAGTTGGATCAGCCTGTAGTGTGGTTTTCCACTTTTTAATTTTGAGGGTGACTCCAAATCCAGACCTCCATGGGTTGATAAATTTGATTTCCACTGATACTTTTTGTGTGATTTTGTTGTCAGCACATTCAACTATGTAAAGAAAAAAGTATTTAATAAGATTATTGAATTCATTCAGATCTAGGATGTGTTATTTTAGTGTTCCCTTTATTTTTTTGAGCAGTGTATTTCAAGTCTAGCCAACTTGGATCTATTTGGTAGAAGGTAGAACTGTTATGAATACACCCTCCTGTTCATCTCCAACTGTTTGAATAACAGCCTGTTCACTTTGTTTAGTTGTTGAAATCAAGTGGCCTACCTGGATAAGTTGCTTATTTCTCAGAATGAGAACGAGTTGCCAATTCCTTATGTAAATGCATATTTTTATGCTTATTGCACATTTATAAAACACAGACTAGACAACTAGCACTTAAGTCTGTGGCTAAAATGCTGCTAGCGGTACATGGTACCTCAATGCCGCGCGCAACAAAAACTGAGCATAAATATTCACAATCATGTTCATTAATACTCCCGTTTTAGTAGGGTCGGTTGTACATTTTGGGAATTGAGACAAAAAGGGTATCGTTACCAAGTTCTCCTCTATTACAGTAAAATAATGTCTCAATGTGTTTCGGCATACATATGACCGATTATGATGGACCAAACCTCAAATTCAAATAGCGAGTTGAAACTGCTTGTTGTCAGATAGGAAGAAGATTATATTTTGTCTTTGTTGTTGTGAGTGGCAGGGGGAAGGGGAGGGGCTTGATGTTGGTGTGCCAGTGGGAAGATGCACAGGGACACAGCACAGAAGGAGGAGGGGCTTGGTGTCAGGAGGAGGGGCTTGGTGTCAGGAGGAGGGGCTTGGTGTCAGGAGGAGGGGCTTGGTGTCAAGGCACAGAGGGAGCGAAGGCGATGAGACCAAAAATACAAAACACTCATTAATGAAAACAAGGTGTCAAATTCTATAAATATTGAAATGAGTTCAATCTCCTCCACACTCCAAACGTCTAATCAAAGTCTACGCCAGAGTAATAAAGGTAGAATGAAACAGCAGATTGAGCAGCAGCACTAAAAGTAGTCGGTCGGTCAGTCAGTCAGTCAGTCAGTCAGTCAGTCAGGTGGCTGAAGATGACCAGTCATTTCCTGAGTCCTAGTCATAAACATAACCTTGAGAATCACAGGGCTCAAAACGCCGAGCGCGGGATTTTACGAGGTGATAAAGCAATAGGTTCCTTGACACGCAAGGCGAGAGATATAACTCCGGTCTGGGCTCAGGACTACAAATCAGGGTATGTACCCCAGACATTTACATTACATTTTAGTCATTTAGCAGACGCTCTTATCCAGAGCGACTTACAGTTAGCGCATACATTATTTTTATCGAACCCACAACCCTGGCGTTGCAAACGCCATGCTCTACCAACTGAGCTACATCCCCTGCCGGCCATTCCCTCCCCTACCCTGGACGACGCTGGGCCAATTGTGCGCCGCCCCATGGGTCTCCCGGTCGCGGCCGGCTACGACAGAGCCTGGATTCGAACCAGGATCTCTAGTGGCACAGCTAGCACTGCGATGCAGTGCCTTAGACCACTGAGCCACTCGGGAGTCTAGAGACTGGACAAATGGATACAGTCCAGATGACTAGTTGCTATGGGGAACGTAGTGCTACCTTCGAGAGATTCAGCTGTTGAGCACAACTGCTAGATTTTTTGAATGGACTCAATTTCGTTGAAGGTGTTTTAAAACATATTTTTAGATGAGGTAAAGGACAGTTGAGATGACAGTATAATGATCGTGATGCATGACCAGGCTGAGCACTACAGGATGTCCTCAGAGATTAAATGGACTGTGTATTGAGTCAAGCCCCTTCACTCGCAGCCAGGACTGTCCCATTGACCCGGAGACAGTCCTGTCCCGTCCTGTCCACAGTTGGACAGTCAGTGCAGTGTTTTCCCTACATTCATTTAGCAGCAGTGGCCCAAAATATGATGTAATTATATATATACACACACATACACCGAGTGCACTAAACATTATGAACACCTGCTCTTTCCATGACATAGACCAGGTGAAAGCTATGATCCCTTATTGATGTCACCTGTTAAATCCACTTCAATCAGTGTAGATGAAGGGGAGGAGACAGGTTAAAGAAGGATTTATAAGCCTTGAGACAGATTGTGTATGTGTGCCATTCAGATGATGAATGGGCAAGATAAAATATGTAAATGCCTTTGAACTGGGTATGGTAGTAGGAGCCAGGCACACTGGTTTGTGTCTAGAACTGCAACGCTGCTGGGTTTTTCCACGCTCAACCGTTTCCTGTGTATGTATCAAGAATGGTCCAACATCCAAAGGACACCCAGCCAACTTGACACAACTGTGGGAAGCATTGGAGTCAACATGGGCCAGCATCCCTATGGAATGCTTTCAACACCTTGTAGAGTCCATGCCCCGACGAATTGAGTCAGTTCTGAGGGCAATGGGGGGTGCAACCCGTTGGCTCAATGACTCATTGGCTCAATGACTCGTTGGCTCAATGTCTCAAAGTCTATGGGAAACAGCTACCATGTCAATGCGCTAACGCTACTAGCAATGTTCCCCCCCCCCAGTGGATCAGTGAACAGCAGTTGGACAGTGGAGATATTTGTATATATATACCCAGTGGCTGGCGATGATCTCTCCACAGTAGTTCATGAGGGTTGTGGCGTCCAGCTCCTCAGCCGTCTGGTAGAACCGGATACAGTTCCTCACGTTCACCGATGACATCACCCCTTTCTCACACCTGTTCCAAGAGAACAAAAGCTATATTTGAGGATATTGATGTCAATGGGAAATAGTGTACAATGCATTCATAGCCTAGAGGAAAGAAAAACCACAAAGAGCACCTGTGCCCGTAGGGAGTAAAAACACACCCCAGAGGGACTGTGAGTTTGAGATGACAGTCAGTAACAGTGCAGTCACCAACTGATCTACAAACCGTAACGAGTAGTCATCTGGGAGGCAAGGTCATCAGCGACTGAGCAGAATTGTCAGGCAGCCCCTTCCTACCTCTCTCGGAGCAGATGCAGCTGGAAGCGGTTGGCCAGCTTCATCAGGTCGATGAGGAAGGCATCGTCCTCGCTGAGCTCCAGGTTGTCTGTGTAGGCCCAGCGCAACATCGCCATGGCAACCTCCGGCTTGGCATCTGGAACACCCAGCATGGGAGAGACAGTGTTAACGACCCAGAGTGGAATGAAATATAACTTTACTGAACAATAGCTACGCTATCAATAAACTGCTTTTAATGCAGATGTTGGAAAAGACAGTTTGTAGCGCATTTTCAAAAAACTGTGAACACAATGGACTCGTCTTTTTTCTTGGGGTACATTCTGGGGCATTGTGACCAGTAGTTTTGACAGCAGGGAGGGTGCTCAACTCACCAGACAGGTCCATTTCTGAGGTAGAGGCCAGGTTGGCCAGGCTCCAGGCATCACTGCGAGCAGCCAGGACAAACTTGTGAGCGTTGAGCGTCATCTCTCCAACCGTCACCTTCAGATCACTACAAACATGGCAACAGTGACAACATAAGTGAGAAAGAATATAGCCCATGTTCATAGCTTGAGTAACTAGGTTTTGCATATTTTTTTTCTGGATTTCTGTAGAAACTGTGAATCATAGAATCTACGACCTTGGTATAGCCACTGGAAATAATTGATCATTGGGTGTCATTGCGTTGAACAATGAATATCACATCAATTAATTAAACAATTAAGTGCAATTTTTAATTTTCTTGGCTTTTCCACCTCAAGAAAAAGGAACAACAAAACAGCAGGTCCTCTTTCTGACTGTAACCATGGCAACGGCACATGTTGCTGCATACATTATATCCCACCTCTCCCCTCCCCTCCCGTCCCGTTCACCTGTACTGGTCCTGCTGGTAGAGCTGGGTCACGATGTCTAGCAGGCGGCTGACGAAGGTGTCTCCTGCCCCGGCTCCTAAGGCGCTGGTGGAGCCCTGGCCAGAGGCCTGAGCAGCCAGCATGGCACAGCGCCTCTCTGTGTCAGCCAGCTTCTGCTGCATCTTCACATACTCCTGCCTCAGCAGGGCCAGGTGCTTCTGCAGCTTGGCCACCTCCTCTGTCACAGAGAGAGGGAAGAGACGGCGGGAGGGGAGAGGTAGAGTGGAAAATGGAGGAGGTGAAGAGAACAGGAAAGCTTGTAAAGAGCTAAGCCCTTTTGATGGAGTAGGGTTGCATTAAGCACATTCTGGCTCACAATGCTTTGTGTTTTTATCCGGATTAGGAAATGAAGAAAAATAGACCTTGTTGTACAACCAAACAGTAAAAACAAACTGTCTAATTTTATCGTGCTATAGTAACCCAAATCAGTGTTGTATTGTTTCAAGGACGCCTAGTATTTCTCAAGGCAGGTTCCTGCCTAGATATAGGCTAGGGATGTTTCGCTTTAAGGCTTACTATGTGTCGGAGCCCACTCAGCCCAGGATCGCACATAACTTCCCTCTCCCATTTCCGCTTAAGTTTGAGTCCAGACAGAATGCTGAGGCGGCACATAACTTTTCCCTCCCACGGGTCAGAGGGTTAACTAGCTGGCTGACTATAGCTTCATATACAGTCATTGGGCTATAGTCATGGGGAAGGGACGGCTGCCAGTACCACCTGATCAACGGCCACAGGAAAGGATCACTGCTGCAACAGCAAGATAGGCTGAGCTGTTCAACGAAAAACCGGTTCAGAGCCACAACCTGAATGCATGTATTACCACAGTGCAACTTGTCATTCTTCATTCACAATGTTCCATTCATTTTGAAAAGGGAGGATATGATTGCCCATTTTGTGCATGTTATAAAGCGTCTTACCTTCAACTCAGCACTTTTAGACATCTTTAAAATAAACTTTATAGGAGCAATAAAAATATAGCTTTCTCTAAGTGTCCACAGCACTTGGGACTACAATGGAAGAGTGAAAAGCTTACAAAATCTAGCTAGTGAGAAACGATGGACTGGCTTGAAAAAAAAGAAGGAAATACTGAACAAAATCATTCAACAGTTTAAGGCAGCACACACCAACTGGTGTATCATTATAATTGATACCGAGTAGCTAGCTAGTACTGTAGGTCTACATTCACTCTTCGAGGAGACTGCAACCACACACAGCTGAATGTTAAAAAAAAAATGTAAACTGGCGCTAGTCACATCTAATCAACACATGATCGAGGCACTGACAGTGCTGTCAAAGCAAGCAAATTAGTTGCCGAGTAACCAATTCATCTTGACTGAAGGCAAATTGATCTATCACACAAACTCGTCAAATACTCTTAACATTTTCGCTAGTTACAATAAAAATAAGTGTTCAATACCGCAATAGCAATTTTGCATTTTGTTACAATGTTTTAACTATCTAGGTACTGTAGCCAACGTTAGCTAGCTAACTAACGGTACATTGTAACGTTATCCTCATCATAAAAATCTACCTGTCCTCGGTCGATTTGCTAAATTACAACATCAACAAAAATGCTAACGTTAGCTAATATCAAATGATCGCGTGTATAATCACCTTCCTTATGCATTCTGCGTTAGCAAATTCTGCTTTCTTTAGTTACCAATCCCGTTCATTGAGTCTAACCACCCGGTGAATTAAGTGGCTAGCCTGCTAAAAACTAGCTAGTTTCCTTCTCCACCCAACCAAACCCAACCCACACCACCCCTCCCACTGACACAGATATAACCCGACTAGCTAGTTAGCTGCAAGTGAAAATTAGCAGCTAACTGCACAAGATGAAAGGGAGACAGTCGTTTATTTTTTATAACATTGCAAATCCCAATTAAATCAAATACAGTATAGCCATTCAGCGATTCAGATAATACATTTAATTCGCGTCTAATAAAGAAAGGGCGTAAAAAAAATATTAAAGGAATCAGTCACATACCTTCAGCCATGATGGTTCCGTGGCTTTTGGTTTGCTATCGCGAGATGACAAAGCAGAAAGTGGGCGGTGACAGTAAATTCTCTATTCCACAGGGGTCTCAGAATATTTCCAAAGTTGCCTAAAAAAGTAACTGGCATCTTTGACTGATATGCATTGTGAAATAATACACTGAGAAGTGTCCAAATCTGCATTGACTGTGACTCTAGCCTGCATATTGTTTCAGACCAATTCCACTTGTTCCGGGTTATGGGAATGCATGCATTAGGTACTTGTGTTTAGCTATAACTGCATGTTATTATGAATGATCTTCATAATAATTTGTGATTGGTTGCAAAGGGTGAGACATTTGCTGGTATAAGGTTAAGTGGTCCTTGCCTTGTCTAGACTGGAGCCTGTCCTTGGCACAGATCCCTGAAACCTGCTTTCCAAATTTCTCTGCCCGGACTGCGGTTGATGTGGGAAAGGGAATACGTCTGTGGCAATCACACCACCTCACGGGGTGCAATAGTGCTACATGGCTTTCTTCTGAATATGGGACACCACTATACACACACTACACTTAACCCATATACTATTCATACCATAAGTGACAGTATCCAATTGTTAATGGACATCAATGAGTCCCTGATACTTGCTAAATCTAGCTTAATATGTTGTGACTCACACCCGTTGCTGACAGGTGTATATAATTGAGCACACAGCCATGCAATCTCCAAAGACAAACACTGGCAGTCGAATGGCCTTTCTGAAGAGCTCAGTGACTTTCAACGTGGCACCGTCATAGGATGCCACCTTTCCAGTAAGTCAGTTCGTCACATTTCTGCCCTTCTAGAGCTGCCCCGGTCAACTGTAAGTGCTGTTATTGTGAAGTGGAAAGGTCTAGGAGCAACAACGGCTCAGCCACGAAGTGGTAGGCCAAACAAGCTCACAGAACTGGACCACCGAGTGCTGAAGCACGTAAAAACTCACTACAGAGTTCAAAACTGCCTCTGGAAGCAACGTCAGCACAATAACTGTTCGTCGAGAGCTTCATGAAATGGGTTTCCATGGTCATGTAGTGTATATTTCACCTAGGGCAGGGTTTCCCAAACTCTGTCCTGAATCAGCTGTGTAAGGGGGGGGGGGGGGGGGGCGAGTTTGGGAAACCCTGACCTAGGGGTTCAGACACCACATGATACAGATACACATGATAATAACATGCTAGGAAGCAAGATAATGTGTGTAAAAAATAAGTACATGTCTGATCATATGACAAAACATTGTGCATTTCAATTTCATTAAAAGAAAACACCCCAACAGTTATTGGAGGGGGGAATCATATTTTAGAAGAACTCACTACAGAAGGTGACAATTTTCATAACATGAAAAATATACATCAGTATTTTTGTCTTTGTTCAATAGGCAAGTAAACTGCAATAGTCCATCAGAGCCAGAATAAAATAACACAACAGGGGAAATCGAGGATCAGGGGAAGAGAGGGAGGGAAAATAAAACAGGGCACAAACATACACACATTTGAAATCAAAACCCAGACACTACCAGCATGGAAACCTAAAGTTAAAGCATGCATAACAAATCCTATCTAGGACACCACACAAAGAAAATCAAGCGCTACAAATTAATCTGCTTCAAGGTGAATATAGGAGAAATAGCTCCCCACGTCACCCTAAATCTCATCAGAATATTTAAACAAATGTAAGACCGTACACCACACACCTGGGGAAGGTTATTGCTACACTAAATTATTCCAATATTTTAATTATACATTGTCGTGGTGTGAACGGTTATAAAATAACTTCTGCACACTCGTACAATTTCTCTGACTGACTTCTCTGAAACTAACTCTGGTTCAATACAGGGTGCAATTGCCAAGCAATTTAATAGGAGGCACTTTTGAAAAAAAAAAAAAAAATGAAAAACCTAACTATGAGCTCAATTTGTGCATGCGTGACTTGTAATGGTTATGTCCATCTGCAAAGAAACACACCTGAACTTGCCAAATGGGGTAATTTCAACCACGGTAGGGGGAGCTCATCATGGTGTTAAAATCCAAAATAAAACACTTGCATCTTTTCTTGAAGTGCTGATCGTGAAGGAACCCAACACGACAAGCATGCTACAGTGTGTGCGTGTTCTAAAGCACCCCCATGTCCCTCTGCCATAAATGCCATTTCGGCATGATACTCCGGTCATTCTAGAACCAACGCTGCTGTTCTCCAATAGTGGGATTCTACAACCGCATCGCATTCTTACCATTCTGCCTTCTACAAGGCTTCCTGTCTGTCAAAGCAACCTGTAACAGAACTATACTAACACACACTAGAGTGGATGTTGAAGAAGGGGGAAATGGACTAAAAACTTCAATAACTTACAGGGTTCAAATTCTACCTACATAAGCACTATTTATTTGGTACTAAGTGTCTTGCTGGATGGATAGGAACAGTTTATATATTATCCAGTTTTACGTCTGTGCTATATACAGGTTTTTTACAATATCTTCCTGAAAAGTTCATAGACTTCAAAAAGCGTGTTATTCATCTTCTGTTTTGTCGTTTTTGAGTTGGCACTTGCTTGGCGGTTTTTGGTCAGCATGTGGTAACAGCTGTTATGTTCTATTGCAGCTGTTATGTTCTATTGCAGCCTATTGTTGCCAGACGGTTTCTGCCAAATGCAATGAAGATGAGCCTGGCAATAGGGTGGTTGAGTGCAGGAAAACAGTGCCATGTTGTTTCTCAATTGGAGACCTGTGGAAGACAAGAACAGAAAACTTAGCACATATTGATATACTGTAATACACTTCCAGCATAGTGTATTTCAGAGAATGCAACAGGTATGAATGAAGTGTGAACAGTGTGATAAGTTACTCAGAGATGCAGTACAATAGCATTGTGACCTCTTCAAAATAACAAGACATGGCTTGTAAAAGATCAAAGTCCACTACGCTTACCCTGAAAAAGGTGAAGCTAGAAGCCGCTTGATAAAAATCACTCAAAGGCAGTCTCTTGGCTCTTTCTTACACAACGGGCCACTTTCCTTTTGAATTCCCCATGTCGGTCTTCCCTCCACTCTTTCTGAAGGGGGAACAAAGGTGCAAAAACATTTTAGTTCAAAGATGACAGAGTTCTGCTCTCGACAAAGGCAAATTTGATGTTTGAGAACCTGGAACAATCGGAATACATTCAGAATTCAGTGCACTTCAGGACATAATAGAAATTACCATTAACTCCTTTTGTCCCAAACAACAATCCACAGATTGTCTATTTATAAAGAACTAATCAGTGTGAGCATAAACCATTGATTTGGCCCCTCAGGTGAAAATGAGACTCACTGCAGCGTCTACATTGGCAGGCGAGTCTCCGTTAGGGTCCGCCAACATGGAGATAACACTAATCATAATGGTTTCCACTGTGTGGATGGGCAGCCAGCGCTCCTCAGGCTTCTCATAGCCGTACTTATCCTCACCAGGCTCGTGCAAAATAGATATACATACGTCGCCGTTCTTGTCAACTGTAAACAGGACAAGAGACATGAAATTAGACGTATTACATCAAAAGGTTTCAATAGAACAATTATATTTATTTGTGTGTGTAAACAAGGATTTTGGTGCGTTCCAAAAACATCATTACTTTACTGAGAAACAGGACTGATCCTCTGGAGGGATAGCTCACATTTCCCAAACAGTAAAAAATACAAAAAAGTACTAACACTTTCAAGAGAAAACATACAGTTGAAGTCGGAAGTTTACATACACCTTAGCCAAATACATTTAAACTCAGTTTTTCACAATTCCTGACATTTAATCCTAGTAAAAATTCCCTGTCTTAGGTCAGTTAGGATCACCACTTTATTTTAAGAATGTGAAATGTCAGAATAATAGTAGAGAGAATGATTTATTTCAGCTTTTATTTATTTCATCACATTCCCAGTGGGTCAGAAGTTTACATACACTCAATTAGTATTTGGTAGCATTGCCTTTAAATTGTTTAACTTGGGTCAAACGTTTCGGGTAGCCTTCCACAAGCTTCCCACAATAAATTGGGTGAATTTTGGCCCATTGCTCCTGACAGAGCTGGTGTAACTGAGTCGGGTTTGTAGGCCTCCTTGCTCGCACACATTTTTTTCAGTTCTACCCACACATTTTCTATAGGATTGAGGTCAGGGCATTGTGATGGCCACTCCAATACCTTGACTTTGTTGTCCTTAAGCCAATTTGCCATAACTTTGGAAGTATGCTTGGGTTCATTGTCCATTTGGAAGACCCATTTGCGACCAAGCTTTAACTTCCTGACTAATGTCTTGAGATGTTGCTTTAATATATCCACATAATTTTCCTTCCTCATGATGCCATCTACTTTGTGAAGTGCACCAGTCCCTCCTGCAGCAAAGCACCCCCAGAGCATGATGCTGCCACCCCCGTGCTTCACGGTTGGGATGGTGTTCTTCGGCTTGCAATTACCCCCTTTTTCCTCCAAAACATAACGATGCTCATTATGGCCAAACAGTTATATTTTTGTTTCATCAGACCAGAGGACATATAATCTTTGTCCCCATGTGCAGTTGCAAACCGTAGTCTGGCTTTTTTATGGCGGTTTTGGAGCAGTGGTTTCTTCCTTGCTGAGCGGCCTTTCAGGTTATGTCGATATAGGACTCGTTTTACTGTGGATATACCGTATTGGTCCGAATATAAGACGACCCTGATTATAAGACGACCCCCCCGTTTTTCAACACAAACATTTAGAAAAACAGATTTGCAGACTAGATTTGCCGAACAAAGAACTTCATTTTATTTTAAAATAACAATATTAAAACACAGTGAATTAAACACAAAGGCAAAACTATGTACAGTATGATTCAAAATTAATATCAAGCCAATAATAAAGCAACATTTTTAAATAACAGAGAAAATACAGGCCACCATTTAACTAAACTTAACAAAAAATTCGCCAAACTTCTCCTCCGATGTCTCTCTATCCCTCACACACGTCCCTCTGCCCCGCTGTGTTCGCTCTCGCTGTCATCGCTCCCCAGCTGCTCCGCTTCCACCGGCTCCTCCCAAAGCAACGTCGTCCTCGCTGCCGTCCAATGCATTTGAGATGCAACATTTTTTAAAGCCATCGATGATGCTCTGTGAGGGAATAGCATCCCATGCATGCAGGATCCATTCACACAGTAGACTTCTCTCCGAAGTCTGACGGCAGGCGTTGGGCCAAACTCGTTCTCCGTCTAAGTGACAGTCCATTACGCCGCATCATCCTACGACACCAGCCGAGGCTGGCTTTAAATCCAGTGATGTTGAGCTCTCTGGCGATTTCCAGGGCCTTAACCTGGATGACAGCTCTGGTAATGGGCATTCCCTCACTTCTTTTTTCCCTGACATATTCAAAAACCCTCCGGTCAACCTCAATGAAACGACCACTTTGAGGACCACGGAAGGATTTTCGCTGACTGTTAGCATCTTTTAGACGTTGTTTTTCTGCTCGCCATCTTCTTACATTACACTCAGTGACCCCGAATGTCTTGGCAGCTTGGCAGTTGTTAGATGACTCTGCCTTATTGACAACCATTATTTTGAAATTGGCATCATAGCTCCTCCGCTGGTGTTTATTGACCTGGCCCACTTTTGAGCCACTTGTCTCTAAATGGTCAGCCTGTCTTTTCCATCTTTAAACACCGGTACGGGCTGGTTTGTTAAGGACCCTCTTCCCTCGTCCGGAACGAATTTTTGGCGCCATCTGTGCCCGCGAATGTGTATTGACATTTACAGGGATCGCCGAAGAGAAGAAACTCGCTCTGAATACTAGACCCCGAATATAAGACGACCCGACTTTTTTGGCCTATTCGAGGGGAAAAAGGTCCGTCGTATCTTCGGACCATACGGTAATACTTTTGGACCCGTTTCCCCCAGCAATCTTCACAAGTTCCTTTGGTGGTTGTTCTGGATTGATTTGGCACTTTTCCGCACCAAAGTACGTTCATCTGCTAGAGAACAAACGCGTCTCCTTCCTAGGCGGAATAGACGGCTGCGTGGTCCCCATGGTGTTTATACTTGTGTACTATTGTTTGCACAGATGAACGTGGTACCTTCAGGCATTTGGAAATTGCTCCCAAGGATGAACCAGACTTGTGGAGGTCTACAATTTATTTTCTGAGGTCTTGGCTGATTTCTTTTGATTTTCCCATGATGTCAAGCAAAGAGGCACTGAGTCTGAAGGTAGGCCTTGAAATACATCCACATGTACACCTCCAATTGACTCAAATTATGTCAATTAGCCTATCAGAAGCTTCTAAAGCCATAACATCATTTTCTGGAATTTACCAAGCTGTTTAAAGGCAGTCAATTTAGTGTATGTAAACTTCTGCCCCACTGGAATTGTGATACAGTGAATTATAAGTGAAATAATCTGTCTGTAAACAATTGTTGGAATAATTACTTGTGTCATGCACAAAGTAGATGTCCTAACCGACTTGCCAAAACTATAGTTTGTTAACAAGACATTTGTGGAGTGGTTGAAAAACAAGTTTTAATGACTCCATGTAAACTTCCGACTTCAACTGTACACTCATACTTACCATTAGGGTGCCATATATCTGTGATAAATGTCATTTTAGGTGGCCTGAGAGGGTAGTCTTTGGGAAATGTGAGATGTGCTTTGAACACACCACCTTCACTGTGAACAGGAAGGCAAAGAGAAATGTCTGTCGTTATGGTCAAATAGCAGGGGTTGAAATAGGGTTGAAAAGATCCAGAAATCTTGACACAAACAGACAACTGTTGTACATGACAAATAGCAAATACATTAGTGGTGCACGGGTTGACTCATAAGCCACAGTCCCCACGGTTATATCCGCGGGGCGGGCGGGTTTGGGTCATTCAATATTGTGTGGATGAAGGGCGAGTGGGTGGCAAAAAAGGTTGAATAAAGACAAAACGCCTTTAAAAAATAAATAAAAAAATGTATCTTCTTGTGCAATTGACAGTACATCTATAGGCTACATTGAGATTTTTTTCTTTCCTTATTTTAGGCTCTGGCATTAGTGTGTAAGCCTGAGCTTAAGGGCCTAACTGTACACATGCCAAATAGCCTACACGCCAATCACCAAATGCATTTGGGAACGGGCAGAAAAAGTTAACGTTGATCCACAGAGGCAAAAAGGACAATGTCTGAGTTTAATTCAATAAGAGAAAAGCTGCGAGATGGAGAGTTGAACATAAAGAGAAAGGAGGGCCAGAAAAGTAATGTTTGGAAAGATCTGGTGAAGTGGTAAAAGAGGATGATAGCATGTTATGTGTGATGATTGTGAGGCGTTATACAAATTCGACAGTCACAAGACGGGGACTTCAAACAGGCCTATGGCACGTCAAGGGAACTGTAGCCTACTGTTCAGATGGGTTAAACGGAAACTGAAATCTGGACACCGACTGTAGGTCTATAACCTCTCACATAGCCTTAATATTACAGTGCATTCAGAAAGAATTCAGACCCCTTCCCTTTTTCCACATTGTTATGTTACAGCCTTATTCTAAAATGGATACAATTATTTTTACCCCCTCAATACCCCATAATGACAAAGCGAAAACAGGTTTTTAGAAATGTTTGAAAATGGTTTTTTTTTTTTTAAACAACCTTATTTACATAAGTATTCAGACCCTTTGCTATGAGACTTGAAATTGAGCTCAGGTGCATCCTGTTTCCAATGATCATCCTTGAGATGTTTCTAACAACTTGGAGTACACCTGTGGTAAATTCAATTGATTGGACATGATTTGAAAAGGCACACACCTGTCTATATAAGGTCCCACAGTTGACAGTGCATGTCAGAGCAAAACCAAGCCATGAGGTCAAAGGACTTGTCCGTAGAGCTCGGAGACAGGATTGTGTCAAGACACAGATCTGGGGAAGGGTACCAAAACATTTCTGCAGCATTGAAGGTCCCCAAGATCACAGTGGCCTCCATCATTCTTAAATGGAAGACGTTTGGAACCACCAAGACTTTTCCTAGAGCTGGCCACCCGGCCAAACTAAGCAATCGGGGGAGAAGGGCCTTGGTCAGGGAGGTGACCAAGAACCTGATGGTCACTCTGACAGAGCTCCAGAGTTCCTCTGTGGAAATGGGAGAACCTTCCAGAAGGACAACCATCTCTGCAGCACTCCACCAATCAGACCTTTATGGTAGAGTGGCCAGACGGAAGCCACTCCTCAGTAAAAGGCACATGACAGCCGGCTTGGAGTTTGCCAAAAGGCACCTAAAGGACTCTCAGACCATGAGAAACAAGATTCTCTGGTCTGATGAAACCAAGATTGAACTCTTTGGCCTGAATGCCAAGCGTCACGTCTGGAGGAAACCGGGCACTATCCCTACAGTGAAGCATGGTGGTGGCAGCATCATGCTGTGGGGATGTTTTTCAGCGGCAGGGACTGGGAGACTAGTCAGGAACGAGGGAAAGATTAACAGAGCAAAGTACAGAGAGATCCTTGATGACAACCTGCTCCAGAGCGCTCAGGACCTCAGACTGGGGCGAAGGTTCACCTTCCAACAGGATAACTTCCCTAAGCACACAGCCAAGACAACGCAGGAGTGGCTTCGGGACAAGTCTCTGAATGTCCTTGAGTGGCCCAGCCAGAGCCCGGACTTGAACCCGATTTGAACATCTCTGAAAATACCTGAAAACAGCTGTGCAGCAACGCTCCCCATCCAACCTGACAGGGCTTGAGAAGATAGGCAGAGAAGAATGTGAGAAACTCCCCAAATACAGGTGTGCCAAGCTTGTAGCGTCATACCCAAGAAGACTCAAGGCTGTAATCGCTGCCAAAGGTGCTTCATCAAAGTACTGAGTAAAGGGTCTGAATACTTGTGTAAATGTGAATTTTTTAATTTTTAATACATTTGCTAAAATACATTTAAAAAACTGTTTTTGCTTTGTCATTATGGGGTATTGTGTGTAGATTGAGAAAAAACGAACAATTTAATCAATTTCTTAGAATAAGGCTGTAACGTAATAAAGTAGAAGAAGTCAAGGGGTCTGAATACTTTCCGAATGCACTGTAACTCCTGCAGAATTGAGCATTTCTTGCAGTAAAATTATCCACTAAATGAATGCAACATTTTGACTCAGGAACAGGAGTGGAGAAATCATTTCTTTCAGCATCTTGAGAGAATGCGAATGCACAGTTAGATACAGTCTTTATCAGCATCGTAAAAGCTGATAGTATTTCAACCACATAAAGTATGCATCCAAGCCGAACTAAAATCTGATCAGAAACATGTTGGGTCGTTTTCACAGCTTTGTATTTCCTTCTTTTTTTTTTTTTTTTGGAGTTAGGCCTACTGCATTTTCTCCCTGGTCCGTAAACGTCTTTGCTTCGAGAACGAAGCAGAGAAAACAGATGGGTTATTAGCAATTGCGGGCGGTCGAAACAAACAGCTGAACCGCGCACCACTAAAATACATCCCCACATCCAAATACTCCCCAGCAGACTCATCAACCCACCCACACAGCAAAATCAGAGTGGAACTGGGCTGGCAGACTTACTAGCATGTGTCTGGTGGGCCGATGATTAAGACTTCCCATCTGTAGAGATCGTTATCATCTATCAAACCTGCTGAGAATCCCTCCACTGGGTTCTTATTCAGCTCTAGGAAATCAAGAGAAAACATTTATACATCATGGTTTTTCATCCGAAATACACACACAAAAAATAGTAGTGGTTCTACGGTGATGTGTGACTCTTGAACTCTATCCAGTCAACACAGTGAGACGTCCATCTCGCTAATCAGTACGTGGGAATGATGGATTCAGCCTTCTCAGACTGAAAATGTGCCTCTCTGTGAACATAAAGCTTTTGATCCATAAAATCATTAATATCCCTAAAAAAAAGTGATATCCCTATAAAGTGCCTATTATACCAAATAAACAGCTTCCTTAAGTAGCAGTTTAAACTGAACTCAGAAGTTCACTGTGGTTTAGATGTGCTGTGGCAGCCAGTCTCCTGCTGTGCTGAAACACCAGCACAGTCAAACAACCGCACCCATCTGTCACACCCTGGGCACTGGTCCTAAAAGAATCAACTTGGTATGTAGATTCCAACCATTTCATTTCCTCTCGATACAAACCACCTCAACAGTGAAGTCAACCTAAAGAGGGCATGTTCAATGGTCCCAATAACGTACCTCTTATTGTGTAAGTAAGTAGTCAAGCAGTCTAAAAGAAACATATATTCATAGTGCTGTCATAAACACTGTAAGTTGATCAGGGCTTGCACAACTCCACCTTAATGGGGATCAGTGACCACTACTACTGCGGGTGAGTGACTTTTACTACTACTGCTGTTAATGGGGGTGAGTGACTATTACTACTACTGTTGTTAATGGGGGTGAGTGCCTATAATACTGCTGTTGAGGAGGGTGAGTGAGGAGTCAAAGGGAAACTGATGTAGCGCCAATGACATGTATTAACCCTGGTCTGACAGGGGGCACTGTATTGAAACCACCAGGCAACCATCTTGACATTCCTCAATTGTAAAAAAAAAAATATATATTTTGGAAGCTATAGAAATGCATTTATTAATGTCTGCATTTGTTTGTTCCACTTTTACACACACACCTTACCTTAATGCATACTTTAAAATTGATATTATGTGAGCTAAACATACAAATAAAAGAAATACATTAAATAAAAAGGTTTTTAAGTATTTTTTTTTAGAGAGTATTAATGTTACTGTCCCCACTACAACAGAAAATACATGCAATTTTGTCAATGAAACACTTAATTGAAATACTGTAGAATTCCATTAATTCCTTCGGAGGAACTACTACTGGGGAGTGCCAATATGGCTGACTGGTGGCTTCAAAGCCCATCAATGGCCAATACATAGCATCAGCAATCCAGGGTTTGTTATTTATATTTATATATATATATATATACACTTCATTGAGTTGTACATCCCCTTTGAACAGCAACCCTGACGATCATGTTTAGAGCCAGGGAAGGCCTCTGGAACACAGCCACATAGGGCTTTAGACCGAGCTGTTCTCCCTCAGCTGAAAACACTTGGCAAGGTGCAGCATAGCCAAGTAAAACGCTAAGATATACTTCACATCAACGTTAGTTGAATGGAGACGAGAGTGAGCGGAGTGTACCTCATACTACATCGCGTCGCTGTCAGTCGATACGAGGACACAAACGGTGGTTGTATTTGATTAACGTTTAATAAAAAAAAGTCTGGATTTCAGCAAACAAAAAAAGGCACACAGCTACAGAGGACAAACATATGTACACAGTTTAAGTATCGACCTTCGGCGACTCGATGAAGTCGGAGATACAGTCCACACACTCGTCTCCGCTCAACTCCGTTGATGTGAAGGACATCGTGGAGTTGAATTTTACTTGGCTTGGAGCAGCAGTACCTTTGTTTATGCATGTCTAACTTTTATATGTGTATGAAAAAAGGAAATAAGAGAGATCATGGTGAAATCATGGGCTATTGTACACAATTGACTTCCATATCCCCTTCAACATGAAAAAAATTAACAATATGACATGAGTGTATCTATCACTCTGAATGGCTAATAGAAGTTTGACAGACACAGCCATATTAGGCTAGCTAGGTACATTTCTGAATGTACACCAGGCACCTCGGTTATTTGAGGTAGCTATCGAGCTAACGTTACTCATTGCCACCAATCAAGGAAATATATCTGTGGTGTGCAGGTATGATGCCATGCCTAGTTGACCAGACATTATGCTGCCCTACAGTCAAGAGACAATTTGTTCTGCATGGAGTTAAAAAATAAGAATCGTAGTCAAATACTTAACAGAATGAACACTTTTTGTTAATGGGTGGTTCAGTTAAACTCCTGCACGGCCCTGGCTTAATTTAAAATCAAGCTGACAGTTGTCCAATAATGACTAGCTGACAGTTGACGTGTGTCTGCTAACGTTAGCCAACAATCGACATTACGTTCAAAACAAAGGGGTAGTATATTAAACGTTACATTTAGCTTGCTATCTAGTTCGCTAGCTAAACTTGAACCATTTCGCGTCCACAATAACAAATTAAAAAATAACAACCACAAATTTGATTTTACTAGCTATATTCAACTATCAAAATGAAGTAAGCCAAGATGTGACATTTCACAGCACACACGGTAGTAGCTAGCTAGATAAAGTAAAAGCCGAAACAAAGATTAAACGATATGCCGCAAGTGGGCCAAATTAGATGGATTAGCTAACGTTAGCTAGCACAGCAACCGGACAAATAAAAAAGAACGTTAGCTGACGTTAGCCACCAGTTTATAAATTACCTGCCAGCTGTCTCCTGAGTAACAGTGCTGCCTGAGGCTCCGTCATGTTTTTACAACTTGGATTACAAAATGACAAATGTTAATATTGCGAGGTGAGAGAATTAGCTAGGTATTTACTTTCAATAAATAACGCCAGTGCAGTGCTTATTTTCCTTCTTCTTCTTCTTCTTTGATATAATAGCGGTCCGCAAACAAACGTTAAAGGTGCATGCCGCCACCTACTGGAGTGTGTGGTCAATCACAGTCTTGCTTCTTCTTCGATGAGGTTTAACGGTGGTTGGCATCCAATAAATGTTGCATTACCGCCACCTACTACATTTTCATTTTAGCAGACAACCTTATCCAGAGCAACTTACAGTTAGTGCATACATTATTTAATTTTTTTCATACTGGCCCCCCGTGGGAAACGAACCCAGCTACATCCCTGCCAGCCATTCCCTCCCCTACTGTGCACTGCCCCATGGGTCTCCCGGTCGCAGCCGGCTACGACAGAGCCTGGATTCGAACCAGAATCTCTAGTTGCACAGCTAGCACTGCGATGCAGTGCCTTAGACCACTGCACCACTCGGGGGTCTAGAGTATAACTCCCTTATACTTTGCTTGAAAATAATAATAATTTCTAAATCCTCCTACCTAACTTAGAACTTCTGAGAAAATAAAGAAGAGCCCTACTAACTTCTAATAGACCCTCCCCCATCCCTAAACCCCTCCCCCAAATCCCTTTTTTAAAAAAAACAACCCGTCCAACCTCAATGACCCTACACTTCAATCTTTCCCTCTCTTCAACATACTTACGACAATATAACAACACGTGCTCCACCGTTTCATCGACCATACACTCTAGACACAAACCATTCACATGCTTGCCAACCAGATGTAATGACGAGTTCAATGTACAATGTCCTAAGCGCAATCGAGCAAACACCAGCGCTTCCTTCCTAATCTGACCACAACGTTAGACACGAACACGAATGATCTGCTTGGCGTGTTAACACACTGGTGGTTTGTTGTAACCGAGTATTGATGCTAAACCGTGTTATTGGAGGCTAGCATGCTAGTTGGCTTTGGCGTCATAGGATTCGGTGCCCTGGACGGTTTTCACGGAAGAATACTGTACCAAGTTAGCTAGCTGAATAAACTAAGTTAGAGTCTATTCCTAGAAAACATTGAACCGCTGTAGTTTACAACAATTATAATTTCTAAAGTGAAGTTGGGAGAGTTTTATTTGAGTGTTTTCCTTGAAACGTAAGTGAGGGAGGCCCCGCTCTCTCGCTTTCCCAGATGTTTAGTTCATTTCATTCCAATCTCCTTTGCATTATTGTAGCCTTTTTTTGTAGCCTGTCAACTATGTGTCTGTCTATCCCTGTTCTCTCCTCTCTGCACAGGCCATACAAACGCTTCACACCACATGGCTGTTGCCACTCTAATCTGGTGGTCCCTGCGCGCACGACCCATGTGGAGTTCCAGGTCTCCGGCAGCCTCTGGAACTGCCGTTCTGCGGCCAACAAGGCAGAGTTCATCTCAGCCTATGTTACCCTCCAGTCCCTCGACTTCTTCGCGCTGACGGAAACATGGAATACCACAGAAAACACTGCTACTCCTACTGCTCTCTCCTCGTCTGACCATGTGTTCTCGCATACCCCGAGAGCTTCTGGTCAGCGCGGCGGTGGCACAGGAATCCTCATCTCTCCCAAGTGGACATTCTCTCTTTTCCCCCTGACCCATCTGTCTATCTCCTCATTTGAATTCCATGCTGTCACAGTCACTAGCCCATTCAAGCTTAACATCCTTGTCATTTATCGCCCTCCAGGTTCCCTTGGAGAGTTCATCAATGAGCTTGACGCCTTGATAAGTTCCTTTCCTGAGGATGGCTCACCCCTCACAGTTATGGGTGACTTTAACCTCCCTACGTCTGCCTTTAACTCATTTCTCTCTTCCTCCTTCTTTCCACTCCTTTCCTCTTTTGACCTCACCCTCTCACTGTCCCCCCCTACTCACAAGGCAGGCAATACGCTTGACCTCATCTTTACTAGATGCTGTTCTTCTACTAATCTCACTGCAACTCCCCTCCATGTCTCCGACCACTACTTTGTATCCTTTTCTCTCTCGCTCTCCTCCAACACTACTCACTCTGCCCCTACTCAGATGGTAATGTGCCGTCGCAACCTTCGCGCTCTCTCTCCCGCTACTCTCCTCTTCCATCCTATCATCTCTTCCCGCTGCTAAATCCTTCTCCCTCCGATCTCCTGATTCTGCCTCCTCAACCCTCCTCTCCTCCCTTTCTGCATCTTTTGACTCATTGTCCATGGCTTGACGACTCATTGCGAGCTCACAGAAGTGGGCTCCGGGCAGCCGAGCGGAAATGGAGGAAAACTAGACTCCCTGCGGACATCTATTCACTCCCTCCTCTCTACATACTCTTCCTCTGTTTCCGTTGCTAAAGCCACTTTCTACCACTCTAAATTTCAAGCCTCTGCCTCTAACCCTAGGAAGCTCTTTGCCACCTTCTCCTCCCTGCTGAATCCTCCTCCTCCTCCCCCTCCCTCCTCCCTCTCTGTGAATGAATTACGTCAACCATTTTGAAAAGAAGGTTGACGACATCCGATCCTCATTTATTAAGTCAAATGACACTGCTAGTCCTGCTCACACTGCCCTACCCTATGCTTTGACTTCTTTCTCCCCTCTCTCTCCAGATGAAATCTTGCAACTTGTGACAGCTGGCCGCCCAACCACCTGCCCGCCTGACCCTATCCCCTCCTCTCTTCTCCAGACCATTCCCGGAGACCTTCTCCCTTACTTCACCTCGCTCATCAACTCATCCTTGACTGCTGGCCATGTCCCTTCCGTCTTCAAGAGAGCGAGAGTTGCACCTCTCCTCAAAAAACCTACACTCAATCCCTCCGATGTTCAACAACTACAGACCAGTATCCCTTCTTTCTTTTCTCTCCAAAAGACCTATCCGCTGCCTTTGATACTGTGAACCATCAGATCCTCCTCTCCACCCTCTCCGAGTTGGGCATCTCCGGCGCTGCTCACTCTTGGATTTCGTCCTACCTGACAGGTCGCTCCTACAAGGCGGCGTGGCGAGAATCTGTCTCCGCACCACGTGCTCTCACCACTGGTGTCCCCCAGGGCTCAGTTCTAAGCCCTCTCCTATTCTCTCCATACACCAAGTCACTTGGCTCTGTCATGTCCTCACATGGCCTCTCCTATCATTGCTACGCAGACGACACACAACTAATCTTCTCCTTTCCCCCTTCTGATAACCAGGTGGCGAATCGCATCTCTGCATGTCTGGCAGACATATCAGTATGGATGACGGATCACCACCTCAAGCTGAACCTTGGCAAGACGGAGCTGCTCTTCCTCCTGGGGAAGGACTGCCCGCTCCATGATCTCGCCATCACGGTTGACAACTCCATTGTGTCCTCCTCCCAGAGTGCAAAGAACCTTGGCGTGACCCTGGACAACACCCTGTCGTTCTCCGCTAACATCAAGGCGGTGACCCGATCCTGTAGGTTCATGCTCTACAACATTCGGAGAGTACGACACTGCCTTACACAGGAAGCGGCACAGGTCCTAATCCAGGCACTTGTCATCTCCCGTCTGGATTACTGCAACTCGCTGTTGGCTGGGCTCCCTGCCTGTGCCATTAAACCCCTACAACTCATCCAGAATGCCGCAGCCCGTCTGGTGTTCAACCTTCCCAAGTTCTCTCATGTCACCCCGCTCCTACGCACACTCCACTGGCTTCCAGTTGAAGCTTGCATCTGCTACAAGACCATGGTGCTTGCCTATGGAGCTGTGAGGGGAACGGCACCTCCGTACCTTCAGGCTCTGATCAGTCCCTACACCCAAACGAGGGCATTGCGTTCATCCACCTCTGGCCTGCTGGCTCCCCTACCTCTGCTGAAGCACAGTTCCCGCTCAGCCCAGTCAAAACTGTTCACTGCTCTGGCACCCCAATGGTGGAACAAGCTCCCTCACGACGCCAGGACAGCGGAGTCACTCACCACCTTCCGGAGACATTTGAAACCCCACCTCTTTAAAGAATACCTGGGATAGGATAAAGTAATCCTACCCCACCCCTTACCCCCCCATCCCCCCCCCCCCCCAGAAAAAAGAACGAAAGACATTTTTTGTTGAAAAAAAATGAAATAAAAAAAAAAGATTAAAAAAAGATAAAAACAATTGAAAATATAAATAAAATAAACATTTGTAAAGTGGTTATCCCACTGGCTATAAGGTGAATGCACCAATTTGTAAGTCGCTCTGGATAAGAGCGTCTGCTAAATGACGTAAATGTAAATGTAAATGTCATTGTCCATTTGGAAGACCCATTTGCGACCAAGCTTTAACTTCCTGACTGATGTCTTGAGATGTTGCTTCAATATATCCACATAATTTTCCTTCCTCATGATGCCATCTATTTTGTGAAGTGCACCAGTCCCTCCTGCAGCAAAGCACACCCACAGCATGATGCTGCCACCCCCGTGCTTCACGGTTGAGATGGTATTCTTCCGCTTGCAAGCAACCCCCAAAAAGTAAGATCTTTGTCCCCATGTGCAGCTGCAAACTGTAGTCTGGCTTTTTTATGGAGGTTTTGGAGTAGTGGCTTCTTCCTTGCTGTGCGGCCTTTCAGGTTATGTCGATATAGGCCTTGTTTTACTGTGGATATAGATATAAGATTTCCTCCAGCATCTTCACAAGGTCCTTTGCTGTTGTTCTGGGATTGATTTGCACTTTTCGCACCAAAGTACGCTCATCTCTAGGAGACAGAATGCGTCTCCTTCCTGAGCGGTATGACATCTGCGTGGTTCCGTGGTGTTTATACTTGCGTACTATTGTTTGTACAGATGAACGTGGTACCTTCAGGCATTTGGAAATTGCTCCCAAGGATGAACCAGACTTGTGGAGGTCTACAATTTCTTTTCTGAGGACTTGGCTGATTTCTTTTGATTTTCCCATGATGTCAAGCAAAGAGGCACTGAGTTTGAAGGTAGGCCTTGAAATACATCCACAGGTACACCTCCAATTGACTCAAATGATGTCAATTAGCCTATCAGAAGCTTCTAAAGTCATGACATAATTTCTGGAATTTTCCAAGCTGTTTAAAGGCACAGTCAATTTAGTGTATGTAAACTTCTGCCCCACTGGAATTGTGATACAGTGAATTATAAGTGAAATAATCTGTCTG